TAGGTATCCAGAAAAGTTTTTGCTGTTTTTTCTGTGAAAAATGAAATAACTAATGTTAAATAATTTCACTATCTTTCAAGCTCTCCGCAAGTTAATTTTGAATTCGTCTCGATTGTAGTCTTCAGACCCTCGTTATTTAAAGAAAATGGTCTTTCAGGTCGGGATGCATCTTCAAGGCTCTCATCGTCTGAAGCAAACTTTTGAAATCCGTAACGAGCAGTTCCTTCCTTCACTACATTTTCTCTGAATGCCATATCAATACTTCGACAAACTTCTGACGCGTTGGAACAACGTTTGAACTCGCATAATAAACGCGCACGAATAATTTATTTTTGGATAGCTATATTAAGTGGGTAAAAAATACACACAGATTGATGTTTACTGCTCTGAATGTAACAATTGAATGACACAAGAGATATATTTTATAGTTTGAGTTATATATTGTTATATGCACACACACGAATTATATACACACACATTAGTTAGTAACTATAAAAATTTCTAGGATTGTGACCAACAAAGCATCAGCAAGAACTTTTCTGGCAAGATCAGCAAGAACCTGATATATTTTCTGACATTTCATATTAAACAAAGTTATACCAACTCAATTGTCATTGGCGCTGACGTAAAATCAGATGGTACGGGATGCGATAAGAACTGTCAGAACTGCAGTTCTCTTTATTGGGATACTATCTAGCCCGGTTAATTAAAACGCGCCTTCGCGGAAAGAAATGGGCATGTTGAAAATTATCGGGCGTAAACAACGAGCACGGGATTGCGCCTGCCGAGGTGTAAACATCGCCGAGGTCACACTGACGAGGAACGCGGTCGCTAATATTTTCGCTAGCTCGAAGCCGAAGCACGAGCATGAGAAAAAATATATCGGTGTATCGAGGAAGAGACTGTCGTAGCAATGATTCGTTAAATTTTCTTAAATTGACACTGCGCATAAATATTATGCACAAAATATCAAATTAATATTCGTATAAAGTGTTGCAAAAAGAAGCCAGCTTCAGTGCAATCAATATGATTTTGTACTCGTCAAATATATATCTTATCGATTATCACTCTCAAGGTTCCGCGTATAAGTTTTCGCAGAATAAATATTTCCGCAGTGATCAGAGAGGAAGCAAACAGTGCTTCTCGCAATTCACATTTTTATTAAGCTAGATATGAACGCATATTGTCGCGCACTATTTTTTATTATCTCTGGTCGAAAACCAATGCGATTTTTATCCCAAAAAGAAGTAAACACGATAAATTGCAACGTTCCGAGAATGTATACGTGAGACGCGATTCACGTAGAATCAATCGCGAATGAAAATTACGATGTTTAGACAAGAGAGAAAAAACGAAAATGTTTTGTTTCGCGAACGGTAATTCGAAAGAAACGCACGTCTTGTTAAGGACTAAGTTGTAATGTAAATAAACGCGCGTACCGAATTTATCAGTAATTTCAAATGAAATATTATCGGTTCTGACATGAAAAATGTAGAAAATTGATAAACTCGACAGACATAAAATTTATCAAGCCGAATAAGAGCAATAATGGTGAATTTCACGTGCGATGGCGCAATTCTGGTCAAATTTTAACATTATACACTACTCAAAGCAGGAGTTATATTGATTGAATCGCAGCAAATAATTCCATATCTTGATTTCAATATAATAAACTAAAGCATTTATATCTGTATCTTTTAATGATTCAGAGTAAATATAAAAGAGAGAAATATATATCATTATCTTAAAGATTCTGTTGTATAATACGGTCATTGAAAGACTCGATCTCCTGATTATTTCGAGCAACGTGTGAAAAAAGTATAATTAAATCGCATTGATTTTCTCGAGATATTGCAAACATCCATCACCATAAAAATGTCTTTTCTTCTCTGACTCACCGATACACAGCAGACAGAGTCAGCCGCGTTCTGCTGCGGATCTGTAACAAAAAATATAGTTTCGTTAATTAAACTATTAGGTTAAAAATTAGGTTAGGTTGAGTTCAGTTTGCGGAAGCGCGCGCGCAGTTACGAACGTTCCCCCTTTGCCATCGTAATTCAATGGCTTTTATTCCAATCGCTCGGTTTTCGATCGCAATGAATCAAGAAGAAACAATCGATGAATCTCACCTTCAAGCCGACTCTGCTCGGCCCGAACCGGATCCTCCGGTGCGGCATCGGCGTCCGTCGAAACTGCGTCCCGGTAACCTCAGTTATCGCGTGGCCGCAAACTCCAGCAGATCTGTAACAAAAAGCGAGTTTCCTCATCAGTATTACAGCGATAAATGCGCCCCGCATCAAGAGTACGAAGACTCGAAACTACAAATTAGCTTCTTCAACTTAACCAAGTTAACCAATGAAAGTTTACCTTTAAAGATCATGAAACACTGCTATTGCTCGAGATGCTCCGGATCGTCACGCACCGCACATACACACACACGCACGAATATTACACGTTACACGCGCGCGTACACTGTGATCGAGCGTGAAAATTCGGAAATTATTACGCGCAGCAATCCGCCGATCCGTCCGCCGCCGCGGCATCAACAATAATGGAGGCGATCGCGGCAGTTGCATATTTATAAACATATTGTTTTCAAAGTCGCGCGACCTTATCCCGCCGGGACGTGTCTAATGCCGGTTCTACAATACGTCGTATGTTGAAATCGGATGTCGGAAGGTAGTCAGTGGTCCAATGAGGAAAACTCGTTTTCGGAAAATAAATTTTCTTATTGGATTTTCTTATTGACTCTGTCTTCCGACATCCGACGCCGACATATGATTGATTGTAGATAGGGCTTCAGAGAACCCGTAAAGTTGTATAAAACTTACCTTTTTAAACAAAAAGGTAAAAAGAGGCGCCAAGTACACGCGCAACACATATTGTGTTATTTTTAGGAATTTCAAATTATTTTTTTTCAAGTTATATATGTAACATAAAATTTTACAAGTAAAACTTAGAACTATAATAAAACTCTACAACACTGTTCTACTTTGCAAAAGAAATGATATATTAAAATAGTAACGCCAACTGAGAAACTTAACATATATATATGATTACAATATAATTAATTCTTTATTCAAGATAAACGGCAATATTTATGTTTTTAGTACTGTGCATCGTACCGCACCTGAGCGTGTATCTTTGAGCAATGTAATTTATTATTTTCGTTATACAAGTAATAAGTTTGTACAAGTAAAACTTATACCTCTAACAATAAATTCTTCTATTGTAATACTATAAATAAAACTCTACAAAACTGTTCTACAAAATAATGATATAACAAAACAATAGCGTCAACTGAAAAACTCTACTCAACATTAATTCTGCAAATGAGAGCGATTTGCAATCTGAAGATTAATGTATCGAAAACTCCCAATGATACACAGTCTGATATTTCAAAAACAGTGTCTTCATTATTTACTAGAAAACTGAGTTTTATGGTTATTTTATGTGTTATTATAGCAATGCAATAAAAAATATTTAATGGAAAAAATCTTGGCTTCTCTCTCTCTCTCTCTCTCTCTCGCTCTCTCGCTCTCTTTCTCTTTCTCGCACATTTCTACTCCTGTATTCTAGTAATATTCTTCTCTCTCTTACTCTCTATCGTTTATTCACTCGCACTCGCTGCTTCTTCAGCGCGCTCGTAACGCCTCTGGTGTCGGAAAAATGAGATGCACAATCCCCTCTCCTCTGCGGTCTAGCGTTTTTTATTTTCTTACTGAATCGAAATTGTCCGTGATTTGAACTTTATCTTAAGATATCTACACTTAGAGACAACGTACACAAAAAACACAAGGACACTTTTCTTCTTATTTTTTAAGGCCGAATCGATTGGGACTGGGAAAAAACTCGATCGGTTTAGCCATTGCTGAGATATGAATATCTCACCTCGTTTCAACTCGCAGTTTCGCGTAATATAGACACGATGTGCCTCTTGATAATGGTTAGGGAGGGGAATATTAGGTATTTGTTAAAGGATAATTTGAGTAGGGTAGATAACAAGGAAGAAGTAAAAGCCTTAGCTGGATTAAGATGTGGTAACATGGAGGAAGGGAACAAATATTGGCTGAAAGAGGAATACAGAAAATGTGTGTTTTGTATAGAAGGTTGGGATACAGTGGAACATTACATCAGAGAGTGTAGGAAGATTAAGGGATGGTTTGTAGAATTAGGAAAGAACGAGGAAGATAGATTAAAAAGAATATGGAATGACGAGTTAGACGAGGAGAAAGGGAAAATATTAAAGAAATTATGGCGAGAAAAAGGAAAGAAGTTGAAAGAAAGTAAAAATAAGGGAATTTTGGGATAGGAGACGAACTGTGGTAATTTGTGGTAAATAAATTAAGATTAAGATTACACTAGGAAAAATATATTGTTGCGTGAACCAAAATTTTGTTGTAACAACAAAATAATTCGGTTAAAATATGCCCAACAAAACTGTTTGGTTCCTGCAAACAAATATCTTGTTTGATTGCGGCTTGTTCGTATAACGTAATACTTTTGTTATAGTAACCAAAAAGCTTTAACTAAATGAATTTTGTTAAAAACACTATAATTTTTTCTTAATATATAAAATCTAAATTGTAGTGCACAGAAAGACAAAAGAGTATCCATTATTATGTAATTTATTCGTTATTATGTAATTTTTATGGATGAAATTACTAAAATGGTTAATTCTTATGTATAAAGTCTAAGAACAAAGTCGTTTGGTTCAGAGAACAAAGTTTAGTTGAGACAACTAAATATATTTTGTTATATAAAACAAGATATTTGGTTGCTATGAAAAAAATGCTTCAACTAAACAGTTTTGTTAGAGACACTAAATTTTTTTCCTAGTGCAGATAGGTAGGTTAAGAGTATGAGTGAGTGGAGAAAAGGATGGAAGGATGAATATGTGCGGAATAAGTTAATAATTGTAAACCAAGTCCGCTTCTTGGCTTCTTGGCTCAAGTCGAATAAATACTAATCCGCTTTCGCTCTTCGCCGATCTGTTGCAGGCGAGAAGCCGTACCAGTGCACGTGGGAGGGCTGTACGTGGAAATTCGCACGATCGGACGAGCTAACGCGGCACTATCGCAAGCACACGGGCCAAAAGCCGTTCAAGTGCCATCTCTGTCAGCGATCGTTTTCGCGGAGCGATCACCTGTCGCTGCACATGAAGAGGCACTGATGAAGAGAGCCGTAGAAGTAGGAGTAGGTGGAGAAAGAGGAAGAAGAGAAGGAGACGAAGGAGGACCGTCTAGGCGCTGCCGCCGCGACGCGTCGCGACGCGACAGAACGAAGCGCCAGAGCCGCAGCAGCGATCCTCGGCAATCGATCCTGATCCCGAGTGATCCTAGACGAGACAGACAGGGAGAGGAGATGGACGACGATGATATTTTCTTACATTTGGGACCTGAAGAGCCGCGCCGCGAGCCGGCCCGTGCCGTGGTGTGTTGCGCACGGCCGGCCGGGCGGGCAGCAACTAGGGAAAAGAGAAGTATAATAGATCGACGAGGAGAAGTTATAAAGCAATTCGTTCGTTAGTTTAAGCGCTTAATCGCGAGCCGAGCGATCGCGACGCCGGCGACATCTCGACGGCTCTCGAGAACGGTCTAGAGCGATCGTGCGCGATCTCTCACGGTGCTGTCTCTCCCGCGAGACTTCTTTCGACTTTCGGCGACTCGTCTCTCTCGTCGCACGTCGGGCGATCGCGAGGCGATCGCCTCGCCTGGCAAAAAGGACGATCGAAAGTGGCGGCCGCGCGACAATCGGATTCGCGCTACGTCCGAAGCTTACGGAAGCGTCGCGTCGGACGCGGATGAGGAGCGGGGGTGGGGGGAGGGGGGGTTGACGTAAACGTCGCACTTGCCCCCGACGATCGCTTCGCGACTTCGCGACGCGGCCAGGATCCGCGCTTGTTGCGCGGCCGAGATCGCGGCGCGACGAGACGAGTATTGTTTACACGTGTAATCTGTGCTCCTCCGTTTCTAGCCAATTTCCACTCGCTCGACTATCCACTGTTTCTTCTCTCTCCCTCCCCACCCCTTCTTATCCTTCCTTCCCTTTTATCCTCTTTCCTCCTCTCCGCTTCTTTCCTCTTTCTTTTTTCTCGTTTCTCGTTTTTCGTACGTTTAAGTAAGTCCAGCTCAACTAGTCTAGAGCATCATATATCGAATCCACATCGTGAGGAGAATAGAGCCAGTAAATGAATTAATCGACTAAGGCAATTAATAAACGACTAGGATGTAAATTACAGAGTTAATATCGAACTCCGGTGACGGAGCTTGGGACTTAGCATGCTCAGTTAAATAAACTACAATCGTGATCGTAGACACGCTATATCGTGAAGCATTATATATTATTATAGCGATCCTTCGATTATGCACAAAGAATTTCGCGTTTAGGGACGGACAATCATCGACCTTTCATTGTGCGTGCTAACGAAGCGGGGGTTTTCTTTATCTTCATTGGAAACGAACGTTCTCGACATCCCGAAAGCCAGTATTACGACCGCGTACGAAGAAGCAATACGTATCGGCGACGTCGCGACGCCACAGTCGCGCGCGCGCGTTCGTTCTTCGAGATCCCCGAGTTAGTCGCGAAAGGCGCTTTTCCTTTCTCTCGATCGCGTTCGCGGATCGTCGGAGTTTCGATTCTTACGTAAAGGTGCCAAAGTAGAAGGTGCAATCGCGACGATGTCGTTCAATGAAATACTTGGTGCTTTACGAGGAAGCACAAGCGCATAATCGAGCTGATAAATTTTTATTCCCTTCTAACGCGCGCTTCTTGAGATGTTCGATCCTGACCGTATTGCGCGGTCATTGCGTTCCGACGCGAGCAACCACGTCGTCGACGACGATCGGTATCCTGGGGGAGAAGCTCTCGACGTAAAGATCCGCGGNGCGGACGGCGATTAAGTCGTCCGTGTGATCAACACGCGCCTGTAGTAACACGCGGCGAAATCAACGAAATGAGCTAACAACAGATTCGCGCGAATCGTTGAACGCGCCTTATTCTTTGCACGCTCTTTTGCTCCTTCATCTTTCGATCGATCAAAACGCCAAACGGCAGATTGAGATAATCAGTAAGTTTGTTTGCCGTGCGTGAATTTTAGTAATCGCTTTCCATCGATAAGGGCGTTTCAAACATTCATGTTCACGGAAAACGTATGAAATAAATTCAGATATTCGGTTGTGCGCACGTCCAAAAAATTCGGTCATCGAGAAAATCCACAAACCCATTCCATCATTTTCTCCTCGCGCTGCCTTTCGCGCTCCAACATTTCACGCTCCCGTCGCAATTTTTCCGCGGCTTCGGCGGCCTGCGCTTCCGCTTCGATGCGTTTTCGTCTCGTTTCCATCTCCTCCGCTGTTGGCTCTGATGAAAAAGTAAATACCACGACGTGTCAAGTCGAACGTATTAAACTTAACGTTTAACTTTGAGTATCGAAGCGGCTTTCGAGGGACAAAACGTTATGATTTAACGCGCAGTGTTACATATATACGCAGTGTACATATATTTAGGAGTGGATTCTCGCAAAAAAGAAAGCTCTTTCTATTATTCCGACAAAATCGGAAATAGACCGAAGACGTTGACGTGAGCGTCGCGAAATGCGAGAGAAAGTTGGAACTGCCGAGGAAGAATATGAATTATTGCGGACCGTAATTTCTTGGTTCTCCGAGTATTTCTGCACACTGATAGAACGTAGGGAACATATCCGGACAAACGTCAGCCTCCACAGGGATGACAAGGGTGTAGATTTCCATTTCATCGAATAATTGTAGCGGCGTGTTGTCGTCGGTGTTTCTCTCTCTAGAACGTCATGAATGAATGGATACACCGACACGCGCGCATACGAGCGTATTGCGTAATTACGGTATTAATTTAAGTTTACGCGCTTCAGCAAAGGATGACGCTCGTTTGCACTGTGTGTATGTGTCGCATAGTTTCACTTATTCGCCCGGCGAGTTTCAACTATTCGCGCAGAGTTGCGCAGAGCGCATTCATCGCGGGAATATTATGCACGTATATACGTATATAAAACGCTTGAGCGCAACAAAGGAGCAGACAAAGCGCCAAATCCTGCGAGCCGGTCAAAATCACCGGAGCGAGTCGCGCCGAGGTGAAGTATATAATTCAATTATCGCGTAATTCCAAACTGTCGTGCGTTTCGGCTGTCAATCCGCGTCAAACTGTCGCGATAGCTTTCAGTTTGTTGGGCGTTACGCATTATTGCCGGTGCAATCGATCTTTATCGGCGCGTTTTCCAATCCTATTTGCGCGCGAGCCATCGATATCGATTCGCCCGTGTCAAAGGTATTACGGCATGAATAAAGTATAACGTTCTCCCCGAGTCGCGATATTCCCTCCGTCGCGCACCCGTTATTAATACCTATACTCCTTCATGCGTCGTAGCATGCATTCTTCCGTGTAATGTGTGCCCTGTATCTCGCTCTCCGGACGGTTCATCACACGTTCCTTCAGGAAGTGGTCGCTCGCCTCCAAAACTACGACCAATTCCGGCAGGATCGTTACATCGACGTTCTTCGCTTCCTCCGCCGCATCCTCGTCCTCGGACTCGTCCTCCAACTTCTCCACGTGTTCCCCCCTAGGATCCTCCTCGTTGATGAGAAATAGCATCCGGGCTTGTTCGAGGGTCTTGGGATGGCCATCTATCACGTATCCTTGATTCAAACAGTCCTTTGATTTCAGCCGCTTCAGGAACAACCTTCGACGTCAATTGATATTCTAATGTTACGCGCAGAATACACGGGACGCCTCTCCTCCCGGAGAGGATGCCCGATTTTGTATGCTGCTTTCGGCTCTCGCCGAAAGTCGCGGTGCTCCCGAATTTGTCACTCCCGGAAAGTAAACGACACGGCAACTGTTTTCGTTACGAGCCGCGAACCTTCGGCTGCGAAGCTATAAATTAGCGTGCTGGTAATACTTTGCTAGCGCATGTCGCGCTTCATGTTACCTTACGATCGTCATCGACGTCGAAATCGTCGCAATAAAACGTAAACAGGTACTCGCTAATTACGTTTAGTCTCCGAGCGTGCAGCGGAATCGGCGAATCAGCGAGCGAAACTCGTGTGCGGAGTTTCTCATATCATATTTGAGCTCGCAACGCCACTCGGGCGGCGCGTTCAAGTATAAGCAACGTGATAACTTGTTCAAGACAACGTCGTCGAGACGGTCATTATTCGCTGCCAGGTTGGTCCGGATCTCATCAAGCTGCTCCTGCAACTCTACCCTGCTCGCGACGATCTCTTTTTCATCTTGCTCCTCCACTTCTTCTTCTTCTTCTTCTTCTGCTTCTTCTTCATTCTCCTTATCGTTGTCAGCATCTTCCGCCGTATCTTCGAGGTCATCTCGCTGCCCGCCGCCTGATCTCGCAGCTTCGATGTCGTCGATCTTATAATGTCGCGATTGCTCATTTGATTGCCGAGCTACGAGCGACGAGCGACGAGCGGACCGCTCGCGTTGACTCGCAAACGCGCGCGCCTACCAGTCTCTGGATCGTGTCGGAAATGAGCGTCTTCACGTGGACGTAGTTTATCCCGTAATGGTCCGCGAGGAATCGAGCGAGCCGCGTTTTCCCGGACGCCGGCGGCCCGAGAACGATGATCTTCACCGGGCGCAAGTTTCGCGCTGCTTTATACTCCCTCACGACGTCGTCCACGACGTCTCGGAACGGCATGTCGAATCTCCAGCGTATTCGATCGATGATGTACACCGAATCGATGTTCAAATCCACCGTCATCATATCGTAGGCTCTTTGTGAAACCTCCGGCAGCAGCAGAGCTTCTTGCTTCGTTACGCTTTTCACCTTGCCGGTGCCGAGTCTACGAGCGATTTCCTGTTCAGAGGAGAACACGTGTCAACGACTGGAGATGTTCTGTCCAGTCCTGTGGCTTATTCTACCATTCGTTCGATTCGTCGCGGTCTCCTTTGAGGATAGATTTTCAGTTATCAAAGCGGTCGATGTGCACACGTGTGTGCCGCACGCTACCGCGCCAACTTCCGCGCTCTTATTAGGTAAATCGGAAAGTTCCGTCCGTGTCTAGTGGCAAGTAGCTATAGCTAGAACTGTCGTTGACCTCTGATGTCTAAACGAAGCTTAATGGTTTGTCTTGACGTCTGTCAATAAGATTCAATACATAAAGATATACGTGTCAATAACATTGTTTCTTACTGCATCGGAAATGTCGAAATTTGAGTGAAAAAAGCGTCATTTGTGCGGCGTATTAATCTTTTGCTTCAATTGGAAGAAAACTGCAGCTGAAGCTTATCGAATGCTTGTAGAAGTTTATGGTGATAATGCTCCTTCCGATAAAACATGAGAAGAGAAGGGTTTCGACGCTTTAAAAGTGGTGATTTTGACGTAGAGGACGAAGAGCGTTCTGGACGGCCAAGAGTATTCGAAGACGAAGAATTGCAGGCATTGGTGGACGAAGATCCGCGTCAAACGCGGTCAAAAGCAACTTGCAAAGAAGCATTAAATTGTGCTCAATCTGTCGTCATTTCCGATCGTTTGAAAGTCTTAGGAAAGATTTAGGAATGGAAGAAAAATGGAAAATCCCCATATGAACCGAAGCCAAGAGACATTGAAAGAAGGCGAGAAACCACCTGCGAAATTTTGCTTGCTGGGCAACAAAGAAAGGGGAGGTTTTTACATCACCGTATCATCACTGGGGATGAAAAATGGATTTATTTGGACAACCCCAAACGTCGAAAAACTATTTGCGATCCCGGCCAACCCTCAACATCGACGCCAAAGCGGAATATCCACGGAAAGAAGGATAAAAGTGGTCAAACAGTCACAGGGGATCTCTACAGAGAACAAATGGTCTGTTTGAGCCGAGCATTGCACGAAAAACGATTAGAATATGAAATGAGACAGCATAAAGTGATCTTGCTTCATGACAACGCTCAGCCTCACGTCACAAAATCTGTGAAGGAAGTGTTAGAAGCAGCACTTCGTCGCTGGGAGGTGTTACCCCATGTGGCTTATTCAGCAGACTGTGCCCCTTCCGATTGCCACTTGTTTCGGTCGATGGCACACGTACCTGCTGACGAATGCTTCAATTCTTACGAAGACGTCGAAAAATGGGTCTCTGACTGGATAGCCTCCAAAGATGAGTCATTCTTTTGCCGCGGAATTCGCTTGCCGACCGAAAGATGGAAAAAGGTCATCTAACGCTAACGCTAACGATGGACAATATTTTGATCGATGTACTTTTTTTCATTTTGTTTCTCAAATAAAGCCATACGTTTTGCAAAAGACGGACGAAACTTTCCGATTAACCTGACTACTTGAGCGGGAAAGCCATCGATAAGTTGCGAAGCGGGGCTAGCCGGCGATCTTTCGACAAGCTTGTTAAGACCGACTCTAAGTACTTGATTCTTTTCTCCGCGTTACTTGCATAAACCAGTTTACTCAAGTGGGACGAAGGATGTTTCAAAAACTGGTTTGCGCCGGTAAAGCGGAATAACCCAAAGTGGGTTACTAACGTCAACCCTCCATGCCGAATAACCAAAGTCAACATGCATTCGGCGCGAAAAATTCCAACAACGACCGCGGCTTTATCGTCATGAATAGTTTCATTACGGCGGATGCAAATTTTTTGCAAGTCGAGCCTTTCCGCTGATTCCGTTACCGTTACCTTTACGAGGCCTCTGGCCTCTCGCGAGATGCGAGGAAGGAAAGATACGATCTTAAAAGGGGAAAAGGAGCGAAGAGATACGTGTGAAGATTAATTGATCGCGATGTGTTTGTCGCGCACGCGCACCGCGAGGTAAATTCTGGCGATACCTTAACGATCGTATTTTGAGAGATTAACTCTCGCTCCACCGCGACGATGTACCTCCTCGCGGGCCAATTCTGCAGCATCGCCAGCACGGTTCTGAAAATCACATTGCCGGCCGCGAGTTTGCGGCTCTGATATACCGTGCGACGAAAAGTTGAAAGCGCTACAGCGCGCTGTTCCATGTATCGATACTCTCAACTCGTCGGCACGCATATCGACATTAACGCGATATTAAACTTTCGCGAGCTGCGGCGCGTTTTAAAACAGCGCGCAGCCCGTAAAGTGTGATCAATAGCGGCGCGCTATTCTCATAACGTACGCGCGCCGCACGCCGCACGGTATATCAGCTCTCTGTGCAGTGTAATACAGCGAGATACAATGTAAATTTATAATTGCAAATGCCGCAGAGAGAGAATGTTCGCCCTGCGGCTCGTTATTAAATACGATTCTTGCGGTGAAATTTAAGAAAAGCCAGTTCAATCAGAAAGTAATAACACTCCCGGAGCCGTTGTTTGCCTCATAAAAAGCCTGATGAAACCTTTACCGTCGAAGGATTATTATTGGTCTATCGAGTGTAACTCGTAATATTAAGCTTTAATATCAAAACTGCTGCTTAATCAGGGGAAACCTCGATATCGGATATCATGAGCCGACTATAACACAGCAGGCTTCGAGTATCGTATTGATCTCGCTTCATTCTTCCTCGGAGCAAATATGTTACTTTAGATACAAGCGGAAGCAAGAAGAGCACGGCTTTCTGCTCTTGCTTCTGTTCTTGCTTGCTTTGCATCGACGCTCCTCTGGAATACCACTTACGCAGCCAAATCGCGCACATGCAGGAGCGGTACTTTGTTGCTCCCTTTGCCGAATATCGGCAAGAATGGCGCGGTTTGCCATGCCATTTTGAAGAGATGGTGCAGCGGGCCTTGCTTTTCGCCGTACGTGACGCCGCAGCAAACGACCAAGGTTTTCAGATTGCTCTTTAAATTAGCGCGCTTCTTCACAGTCACGACCTCTCTCTCGCACCGCAGGTGCTCCTTATAATTCGGGTGTGGCTTCCGTTTCCTGTAGTCGGCCTCGGTGAACGGTAAATTCGGATCGGCAGGATCTAACGGCTTCGTGAGAGCCCACGTCATTATTGTAGAAATCAGCATAAAGTATCTCTTTGGCTGCTGCCGCTTGGAAACCTTCGGCGACTTCTCCTCCGCGCGTTCCAGCGCGCGGACGATCTCTAGAAAGCCAAGACGCTGCCCTTTATATCGATAAAAGTACCACCACCACATGATCGTAAGTTTCCCAGCTGGACTTTGCTGTCTAATAACGTCGCCGTGACCGCGTGTGGCGCACGGAGCAACTTCCCTTTAATTAAATGAAGCTATAATCGTAGCTAAAAAGCACGAACACCACGCGCTATATATTCATTACGTGAAAACTGAGAGAGGTAAAAAGTCAAAAGACTCCCACGTGCAAACCGACATAATATTATTTATTATTTGATTTTACTCTACGCCATATGTATTTTTCTTCATTTTTGCAAACGCTTTGCCTCTGCTTCCCGTTAAATGCACGACGGACGTGCGAAAACAATAATGAAATTACGCTGTTTAATTAAAGAATGCTAATCGCACTTTTCAGCTCCCGTTTGTCCAGCGACGTAATTTACAAGAAACAGAAGAATTTCTCCCTCGCAAAATCGATCAACGACGTCAACTCGCGTCTGCATCGACGCGAAATTCAGAAACTTTCCCATTAGGGGCGAACGACTGTTTAAACAGATTTCATTCCTCCTCACTTACGAGCCGAAGATTAAGAAGGGATTTGTATTAATGAACCTTTCAAGACCCAGCATGCCTCCTCGATCTGATTCGGCTCCTGGCTAATATCGTAAATAATGACACCGCAGGTCATCAACTCGGATAAGAGGAGCTTCTTGTCGTCCGAATTTCTCGCAATCACCGTCACGTCGTCTGGGCACGAATACTGCGAAACGATAATGGAAATCAAATGGCGTGTTACGCGCCGGCCGACTCCGCGACGTCGATTTTCTCGTCTCTCACAGGCTCCTTTGTCTCTTGCGGCCACCTTTGCCTCATTTCATTGCCGGTGCCCGGACGAGAGGAGAGACGAGACGAGACGAGACGAGATGAGACGAGACGAGACGAGACGTGTCGTGACGCGACACGATCTAACGTTAAATATACAGAGATATGCACGCGATGCGAAGATAACGATAACACGCATCGATCAGCTGCACGCCGTCGTCAGTATTGGCCGAGTGCGGGATAGAACAATGAAGGTACGCGTCGAAAAATCGAAGGTGACGCTCGATAAAGGCGGACTCGTTAATCTCCGAGCGGCGAGAAAGCGCCATTAATCAAACTTAAAGCGAACAGGAGAAGGAAGGACAGAACGCTGGAGGATATTACCTCGCGGTCCAGAACTGTACCGATCACTTCGTATTTTCTCGAAACTTCAGCGCTCTTGTCCGGCCGCTTTCTTTTTTCTTCTCCCTCGTCCCTCCCCGCGTGTTCGTCGCCTTCGTCCTCGAATTCCTCGCCATCCTCGTCCGCCGGGGCGGCCGCGCGCGCACTCCACGGATCGACGTACGCGGAGTCCGACAACACCTGCGCGAGCGTTTAGTGAAATTGTGGCATTTTGTGAAATTTTATCGCGAAATGTGAATTTGCGGCAACTTCATAATCGGCTTATCGGGCGCGCGTTCGCACGAGCGCACGTTCGTTATCGCCTATTCCCGCATCGTTATTCGCGCATTCTCTTTCTGTCGCGATAAAAATTCGATCGCGTCTCGTCGCACACAGGCCGGCCACAACAAGGACAATAATGCAAACGTCAATCACGAAACTTGTAACCTACTTTACAAAGATAGCACGGCGGGCTCAAAGGGGGGAATTCTATAGCCGCATATTAAATTCGAATAGAAATGAACATCCCGCAGTCAGATGGAATCGATTTGACGCGCGCGCTTTATGTAGCGCGCCTTCGTGTGCGTGCGTGCCGAGAGTATCAGCGCGAAAAGTTTGTGTGTTCTCTGTGCACACTCTCTCGCCGCGCACGCTCTTCATTTACATCTCTCTGTTACTGGACGCAGCGATTTACCGACGTGGATTCCAATTTAATTATCGGGCCTGCGCGCCGCGCAAATACTTGCTTCGCGATATAAGCTGCTCGATAACGAGCGGCACCGCTGCGATAAACCCCTTTGGAACCGATCGCAAGAACAATAATTATCGCCCGCTGTTATTTCCCGTCGACATTTCACGCTTGGCGAAAAGTAAAACACGCTCGTTTTGTGCAGCAACAACCGGTTGCCCCTGATTGGCGGGAGTAAAGAGAAGCGGCGCGGGGAATTTCTGCAACCATCTTCTCCTATTTATTGCCGCGTAGATCGGCGTAGGTGAACGCAAAGCACGAGCTTGCACACTTGCGCTTCGTCCTTCGTATAATTGGACCGTAGCTTTCAACGGCGAACGAGGATCCGCTTTTTATTGTGTCGCTGAAGAAAGTAATTTCATCGTGGTGCTCGCATGTTTTGGAACACACATTGGATTCAAAGTAAAGGGGCGCTACGTTCCGCCGCGTGCGTTCCAATTGTGCTATCGGAGCTCTCCTTGCCGTTGCAGAATCGTCCGGAGGCTTTGCTCGTTTTGATATCCTCTGTGTCTTTCGCATAAATCCACTTTGCCGCTCTTCCTCTGCTTCGGACTATCGCGTCTCAAATGATACATACGATATAAAGCAGAGAGAGAGAGAGAGAGAGAGAGAGAGAGAGAGAGAGAGAGAGAGAGAGAGAGTGCGAGTGTTTTATATAATTACGCAGCCTTCTTCCAGAGCGCTTTGCGCAGAAAAATGCGCGTGTCAAATTTGCGTGCGTAAAGGGCCGCTAATACTCACGTCGGCTAATAACGTTCCGTGATAGCTGTCGATGTGATTGATGAAAACACGCCAGGGCTTGAAATACGGCTCAGCATTTTCAGCGAACAAATTGCGATCCCCTTGTCGCTCTCCGGTCGCTTCGCGGCCGGGCGGATGGTTCAAAGTGTCCGCGGCAGTTGTCGAGTCGGTTATTGATACTTTTCGTGAGACATCCATTTCAGCAGGACGCACGAAGCGCAGGACGCATCGTAAACATGCGATATATCCTTGTGCGAAATCGTCAGACGCATTTGGACATTTCCGCGCAACTTCAGTCCGATTGAAGATGCGTTATGTACAAGGCGCACGGCGAAAGACGAATGCAGGCTGTCGTGCTTCGGGAAACGTGCGCTGCGCGAATTCCATCACGAATTCGAGCAAAAACGTTTGATTCGCGCGTGCGGGCGGTCTCGTTCACGGGGTGTTTACGAGACAATCGGTCTCGCGCTAACAGGTGACTGCGTGCAAGTAGTGACGCATTCGATGCGCTTCGTCGGGAAAAACATCGTGCGAAAAGCATCGTGCGGACGAGATTGCGCGACGTCGTCGCACCGCCCGTCTCGGAGTCGGGAAGAAGAAGAGACATTTCATCGGCGTGAAGCAGAAGGTGTGACGCGACGTCGCTTGGCGTTAAGAACGAGTGATTTTTTACAAAGAAGCGCGACGCGTGCAAGGTCGGGTTTAAAGGAGCAGCGCTGAAATGAGGTAGAAGGAAGAACGGGTCAAGGCCGCGAGAATACTCTCGTCAAGATTTTCAGTCGCGCAGTTGCATAAATTCCTCGTTACATATGTTCCCTCGCTCGTTCCTCGCTGTGCGCGTTTGGCACAAAAACGCGTACGAACACCCATCACCCCGCTCATGTGCGAGTAGCTTTGGGCTTGTAGCTTCTGATCTGGCAAGGACGAATACGAGTCCAGACTCACGCGCGCAAACTTGATGGTCGCCATTCTTCTTTAACCCTTACGCGCTAGGACGGCTGCAAATTCATCCGATTATACTTTTCAACTGTTGCCACTAGATAGCAGCACATTACACAGCGGTGCTGCTAGGATTTATAGCGTTCATAAATATTTATAGTCCATGTCAGTCAAAAAAATTAATAAGAAAAATTACAAGTGAAAATGTATCCGTCATAGCGATGAGAGTTGACAAAGACATCCTAATGTCCAAAGATTAATGTTTCAAGAGCTCTTTCGTTCAGTTTGTCACGATGTGAAACTGCTTTTGTACTCCTCATGGGAAACAAGCAAATAATATCGGGCAAATTCGTCATGCCTCGATCGTTCGGCGAGGTGGGACTCGCATGAGAAACGAAATCCTTGCTCGTTGTCGTCCACTGTCCTTCCTATTTTATCGCGAGATTACGATAACGTCACGTGGGAGGAGGATAAATTCCATGTTGGCCTTGTAAGTCAGCATCCTAGCGTAGTCACGCAAACAGCCCCGTTTCTATATTGCCGTCCATGCAGCGTAGGGGAAGGTCGGGAGTAACGAGCGGGTGATACACGGAAGATGAAAAAGCATGCGATGAATTTGAAAGGATACGTCGCCATATTTTGACAAGAGATGACAAGCGCGCGGGAAGGGCGAAAAATTCGATTAATGGATGAGAAGAGATGAAGAAATAGAACGTCACTCCCCAGCAATTATCCCGCTCGGCCGAGTAATAAGCCGAAGAAACCGAACACCGGATTGCGCCGGATCGAACAAGAGAGAACAATCGTTCGTTCCAATTGAACATCTTTCCTCGGGACTCTTGTCCCGACTTTTGAATTCTCTCGGTCAATTATTGAGAACAAAACATGAGCCGTGAGAGAGAGAGAGAGAGAGAGAGAGAGAGAGAGAGGGGGGGGGGGAAAAGAGAGAAGTCGACTGATCAGTTGAGGCTCTCATCCTCTCAGGCATTAACCGAGCTGCATTAGAACAGTTATCAAATAACCATTAGCGCGTTACACGAGACTCCAATTAAAATTTATTTTCCTCGGCTGAGCGTAATTAAGAACCGTTCTCCCGACAAGGGAAAAGCTCCCGCGACGTCGCGGGGAACAAAACTCGAGTATTACCTGACAGTCGCGAGACAATCATAAAAGTCGTCTGATGGCAGTAACCCCGTAATTCACTAAAGCCCATCAATCACTCCGCCGTATACGCCGTTATACGCGCACGAAGAAGTATCTCGTAAATTTGTACTCTCACGCTGAAAACTTCACGGGTCCGTCACGCGACTACGGGCTTTTACCCGGCGCGTAAATATCGAGCGCGGAGAGAGTGAGTGCACGGCGTGAAAACACCGAACGACACGCCGCGACTTGTCAGGCGATTCGTGTCAGGCATTTTCGGCGGCTATTAAGAGGCGTCCGGCTGGTTAGCCGGCTTTTTCGGGAGGAAGCGGAGATCCGCTGAAGCGACGGACTGTGTGAGACTTTCGCGGCGAGTCGCAATTTCCGCCGTTCGCTCGGCCGCCGCTCGAGGATTTGCGTTGTCATCACCGGCGACTCGGCGAGAGAACATTTTACACTGCTCGGCGTAACAAATATTATTTTTGTTACGAGAACAAAGTGCTGTTTGCAGAATCGAGCGGCGCGATTCAATACAGCGCGACGCAGCGGCGCGCACGCAACAGCTCGACGTGAGACATCTGCTATCATAATAGCAAGTGAAAACTTTACAATGTAACAATAAAGTTGGCGCGTGCGCGACCTTGTTTGCCATGCGACTACATTTCATGTGCGTTGCAAGTGCGGCCGAGCAAAAATTCCGCTTCATTGTTTTCCGAGATAAAAGCTACACGCCACCTGCAGTATCTCCAATCTCCCTTCTTCTTCCGGGAGTTTCCTCTCAATTTTAGTGAAAAAATTAAGTTATGCTTTACTATATGCTTTGCTTATCGGCTTTAAGGATTTTTCGTTCAAAATCCTTACCGAGCCTTACCTTTTTATCGAGCAGCTCGATATATTAATATTAATATCATGTCGTAAAAGTATATTCCGAGTAGTTGATGCAATGAAAATATTTACGAATACATCAGAATTACATAAAACAGGAAATGCAAGGACAGAGGGAAAATACGACGATGTGCGATGCGTCTGTCGGCTCGAGCAATGCGCGATTGAATTTAGCAATTTAGCAATCAGAGCTTTCGCGCGTCGACTTCCTGTTACACACAACCACCGCGTAAATATAGTCGATAATATTCCCAACAGCATTCGAGACGAGAGAGCCACCTCCGGAAAATAATCACCCGCGGTGACACTTCTCTCCGGAAATGAGGAGGGGTGCAAATGCGATCGAAGCTTCTTCCTGTGCGCAACACTCGAGACGCTAACATCCTTTTTTTTCTTTCGAAGAAAAAAAGAGTAATTAATAAAAATACACGAAATTTTTCTTTCATTCGCCTGCAAGAAAGAGAGAGAGAGAGAGAGAGAGAGAGAGAGAGAGAGAGAGAGAGAGAGAGAGAGAAAGGGAGAGAGCGGCCGAGAGAAAAGGAGAGCGATATGTAAAGTGCAAGATAAATATATAGCGAATATTGGCAGGCAGCCAGCGCAAAAATATCTCCGGACAAGCGCGATTTGATCTGAAAGTTAAGCGTTGCGTAAAGTGTGTCGCGGGGGAATACAGCGCTGCGCGCCGTAGCCGGTGACTTGTTTCACGCTAAAGCAAAAACAAAGATATTTCTGTCATTAGCAGGACACACACATTGTTCCCGCGGTAAATGAGAACGAGAAGCTCGTTCAACTGCGAAGCGTTGGTGTGTACCGGCTCTCTTCATTTGCGCCGACCGAACCAAGGATACCTTTCTCTTTGTCGTGGGATGCGCACAATGGTGTATTCCCCGCAGAGACGCGTACAGGCGCGACTTACTTAAAAAATTCTTCTTGTTTGCATACGCTTCTTCGAATTGCGCAAAGTCGCTCGATGAAAGTCAAGAGCCAAGCGAGACCTCCGCTTCCTGGGTGTATGAAGATGGCATCCCGTTTTTCGAAATTTATAATTTTAAAAGTTGTTCCAAATTGTTCTGACTTTGTATTACATTGTTCCAAAGTGTTATTGTTTCATTCTAAACGGTTTTCGAATAAAACAAAAGTAATGATTTTTGAGCTGGCACTCCTTTTTCGAGAATCGAACATTTCGATACCGCTATAGATTGTTCCAGTTATTCCAAACATTGTTCCAAAAGGACAAATCCATAAGTTGAATTATAAGTCCGAAAGTGAAAAAACAGTTTTTTGACAAACAGTCTACCGGACTAAGAATAAACTTATACTATCTTTCTTGTCCCAACCGAGCTCTTTTTGTTCTGAATTGTTCTAGGCTTAAAAATTATAGTTTTAAAGTATGAATCTCGTACTATCATCCGTTCTCCGAAAATTTGAAAAAAATCGACTTTCCAGCACCCGACGTCAAGAGTAAACATATGTTTTTTTCCTTGTTCCAACCGAGCCCTTTTTGTTCTGAATTGTTCTAGGTTTAAAAATTATAGTTTTAAAGTATGAATCTCGTACTACCATCCGTTCTCCCAAAATTCGAAAAAAAATCGGTTTTCCAGCACCCGTCGTTAAGAATAAACACATGCTTTCTTTACGAGATTCATACTCTAAAACTCAAGCCTAGAACGACGAACAAGAAAGATAGAAGTTTACTCTTGGTCCGGTAGACTGTTTGTCAAAAACCTTTTTTTCACTTTCCGGACTTATAATTCAACTTATGGATTTGTCCTTTTGGAACAATGTTTGGAACAACTAGAACAATCTATAGCGGTATCGAAATATTCGATTTTCGAAAAAAGGGGTACCAGCTCAAAAAATCATTTTTTTGTTTTATTCGAAAACCGTTTGGAATGAAGCAATAACACTTTGGAACAATGTAGTACAAAGTCAGAACAATTTGGAACAACTTTCAAAATTATAAATTTCGAAAAATGGGGTGCCAACTTCATACACCCCCGCTTCCTCGCCTCGAGAGCGAGACGCGGACGCCTCCTCGCCCCGCGGAGGAATTACGATCTGAATTTGGTCATTTTCATTCGACAGAATTTAATTAATTGAGAATCGACGTTTCGTGTAAAGCGTATTCCACGTTAACTGATATAATATCTTCCTTTCACGGTCGCTAATTAGACGCGTTTTATCGAGCGTATATATTCTACGTAATTGTAATCATTCACGCTGACGTAAAACCAGATGGTACGGGATAAGATAAGAACTGTCAGGCATTTCTCTTTATTGGGATATCATTTAGCCCGGTTAATCAAACGCGCCTTCGCGGAAAGAAATGGACTAGTTGAAAACTATCGGATGTAAACGACGAGCACGGGATCGCGCGTCTGCCGAGGTGTAAACGCCGAGGTCACATTAACGAGGAACGCGGTTGCTAGTATTTTTGCTAGCTCGAAGCCGAAGCACGAGCATGAGAAAAAATATGTCGGTGTATGCCGAAAAAGAGACTGACGTAACAGTGATTCGTTAAATTTTTTTCAATTGACACTGCGCATAAATATTATGCACGAAATATCAGATTAATATTCGTATAAAGTGTTGCAAAAAAAGCCAGCTTCAGTACAATCAGTATGGTTTTTCATTCATCAAATATATATCTTATCGATTATCATTTTCAAGGTCCCGCGTATAATTTTTCGCAGAATAAATATTTCCGCAATGATCAGAGAGGAAGCAAACAATGCTTCTCGCAATTCATATTTTTATTAAACTACATATGAACGCATATTATCGCGCACTATTTTTTATTATCTCTGGCTGAAAACCAATGCGATTTATATATGAGCGTGCATTATAAAACATGACGCTTTCTGAGCCTTTGATTTGCTCACTCACCGACATTCGTTGATTCCTGCATCCGTCCAATGTTCAGTCAGCATTCAGGACAAGTTTCTTTTTTCACAATATTTTGTCGCTTTTTCTTTCTCTTTGTTTATCTTTTCTCTTTCATTAATTTCAATGGGATTTAAGGAAAAGAATTAGCGAGACAAAGAAGCGCGTATAATACGGTTGCGTTCAAGAGATGATATATTTATCCCAAAAAGAAGTAAACACGATAAATTGCAACGTTCCGAGAATGTGAGACGCGATTCGCGTAGAATAAATCGCGAATGAAAATTACGACGTTTAAATAAGAGAGAAGAAACGAAAATGTTTTGTTTCGCGAACGGTAATTCGAAAGAAACTCACGTCTTGTTTCGTAAGGACTAAGTTGTAATGTAAATAAACGCGCGTACCGAATTTATCGGTAATTTCAAATGAAATATTATCGCGTCTAACACGTGTGAAAAATGTAGAAAATTGATAAACTCGACAGACATAAAATTTATCAAGCCAAATAAGATGAATAATGGTGAATTTCACGTGCGATTGCGCAATTCTGATCAAATTTTAACATTACACACTACTCGAAGCAGGAGTTATATTGACTGAATCGCAGCAAATAATTCCGTATCTTGATTTCAATATAATAACAAACTAAAGCATTTATATCTGTATCTTCTAATGATTCAGAGTAAAATATAAAAGAGAGAAATATATATTATATCTTAAAGATTCTGTTGTGTAATACGGTCATTGAAAGACACGATCTCCTGATTATTTCGAGCAACGCGTGAAAACAGCATAATTAAATCGCATTGATTTTCTCGAGATATTGCAAACATCCATCACCATAAAAAATGTCTTTTCTTCTTTGACTCACCGATACACTGCAGACAGAGTCAGCCGCGTTCTGCTGCGGATCTGTAACAAAAAATATAGTTTCGTTAGTTAAACCGTTAGGTTAAAAGTTAAGTTAGGTTGAGTTCAGTTCGCGGAAGCACGTGCGCGCAGATACAAACGTTGATCCTTTGCCATCGTAATTCAACGGCTTTTATTCTAATCACTCGGTTTTCGTTCGTAATGAATCAAGAAGAAATGTACAAACGATCAGTGAACCTCACCTTCAAGCCGACTCTGCTCGGCCCGAACCGGATCCTCCGGTGCGGCATCGGCTTCCGTCGAAACTGCGTCCCGGTAACCGCAGCTATTACGTGGCCGCAAACTCCAGCAGATCTGTAACAAAAAGCGAATTTCCTCATTAGTATTACAGCGACAAATGCGCTCCGCATCAAGAGTACCGAAGACTCGAGACTACAAATTAGCTTCTTCAACTTAACCAAGTTAACCAATAAAAGTTTACCTTTAAAGACCATGAAACACTGCTATTGCTCAAGATGCTCCGGATCGTCACGCACGCACATACACACACGCACGAATATTACACGTTACACGCGCGCGTACACTGTGATCGAGCGTGAAAATTCGGAAATTGTTACGCGCGGCGATCCGCCGATCCGTCCGCCGCCGCGGCGTAAATAATAATGGAGACGCAATCGCGGCAATCGCATACTTATGAACATGTTGTTTTCAAAGTCGCGCGATCTTGTCCCGCCGGGACGCGTCTCAGAGAGGCCGTTAATTTTCCGTGATTTGAACTTCATTTTGAAGTATCTACACTTAGAGACAACGTACACAAAAAACACAAGGACACTTTTCTTCCTATTTTTTAAGGCCGAATCGATTGGGACTGGAAGAACCTCGATCGGTTTAGCCATTGCTGAGATATGAATATTTCACCTCGTTTCAACTCGCAGTTTCGCGTAATATAGGCACCACCGTGCCTCTTGATTTGAATTGGCCCAAGACGATGCGATTTCTTCGACGATACGAGAATGCGTGGGTGAATATTTTGCCTGAACCTTTCACTCGCAACCCGCCTGCACGGTCCAGTTGTTTGCACAAGTGTCTAAATGATTTTCCACGGGTTTTCGAGCAAGCGTATTGTTCGTAACAAATGTGAACAGTTACTTTGGCAAGTTTGTTGTATTTGTTTGTCGTGCTTGTCACACACATCGAAGGCTTCAGTTCGATTCACCGAAGCGACCTTCGCTAATCGGCACTTCGTTTCGCAGAGGAGTGGAACGGCACCTTCCCGTATCAGCTTCTGATAGGAGCAGGGGTGGCGTTGGTCGGTCTGCTCCTGTTGGCAGCCGTCAGCTACCAATGTTCTTCCACTTGGCGATGGCTGATGGGCATGACGCGACACGAGAATACCGAGGACACTGAGACCGATCAGACTCAGCAGAATGCGATCCGCATCAGTCATTCTCTTCCGGACCTCCAGTCGGAACCGATGACTCACGAATATGTTCAAGAGCAGAAAGAGAATAAGAAGGTACACCTCGCGCGCCTCGGAGTTCGATAATGATCGGATGAGCGAAGCGTCCTGCGAAATTCATGGTGGTCGTGCGTCGTCAACATTAATGATGATTTTGCTAGGTACTGCGCCAAACCACTTTGCCCATCGTGCCGATGAGACATCAAAGTTTCCAGCGTCAACTGTCGCACCGGCTCGACTTGCCCAATATTAAGTTCAGCATCTGCAGCCTGGAAAATCGCAGCGACTCCAGTCTCGGTCTCATCAAGGTTGGTCTCATCAAGGTCTTCGTTTCTCACGTGTGCATAGCGTGTGACGAATGCATCGAAATTTTGTTTATTTTGTTTATTTTTTTATTTTGTCCACAGCAACCGCGCGCAATTCTTGTACAAAGCATATGTCGTTCACTATTTTACGTATTACATTTCGGAATATCTTGAAATTGCGCTATACGACAATGACGTGTAAAGTAGCTCGGCCCTTTCAAGACGATTTTTCCGGTTTGAAATTCTGATCTGATCGTTTTATTGAAATTATTTATGTACCACGATCACTAATCAATATTTTACCAAAAATTTTTTTATTGGACTGAGGAGGAGAGGATGCCGTTAACGTACGAAAGCAATAAGAATTCACAAGGTCAGACTTTTTCAAGCTTGTTTTAACTTTGGTGGTACATATACGTACCGATCGGCTTGAAAGGGTTAATAAAGTGTACAGAAACGCGCCAGTGGCTGCAATCGCCACGATTGATGGTACTTGTGCGTAATACCGATGCGTGAATCATTGTCCCTGTAGCCGGAATTGTACAAGAAGGAGCTGCTGAGACAAGAAAGCGCGGAAAGCTCGAGCACGGTGGAAATGGAGTACGCCGGGAAATTACATTTTGCTCTTCGTTACGACAAGGAGATCGACGGGCTTGTTGTCAAGGTAAGTACGGTAATGCATCCATTTGCGAGATTTTCTGTTGCTTCGCCGCGAATTAAATTGAAATTGCTGTAGCAAAACGCAAGCGGCGATCGCCGAGTAACACCTTCGTAGCGCGTAAAATCGAATATACGGAGCTATAATCAGCTCCCGCTCTGCATGTCGCGGTTGCGTAAGCTTTTTCGTAGAAACGCGACAATGCTTTCGCGCACGTTTATTTATGGGAAGCGGCCCTTGCGCTAATTACGCTCGGTACCTACGACTGCATAACGCATCCGGCGATCTCATTTTGCCACCGGCTGTGCGTTTAAACGCGCGCGATAAAAATAACGTAGAGTGTGCGAGTCTGCTCCAATCTCTCTCTCTCTCTCTCTCTCTCTCTCTCTGGCAAGGCAGACACAATGCTTCGTGCTGCGCTATTATTGTCCGACTTTGTTCCATTCGCCACGTTTAACGTCTTTTGACGATAGGTCCTGGAGGCTCGCGAGCTGCCGATAAAAGACGTGACAGGCAGCAGCGACCCGTACATCAAGGTGTACCTGCTGCCAGACAGGAAGAAGAAATTCCAAACGAAAGTGCATCGGAAAAACTTGAACCCGATATTCAATGAAACGTTTATTTTCAGGTAAGGCAAGCGCGATATCGACGAGTCACTCGCGGAGCATTTTCGATCACGTTTACTTTTATTCGGATAATACAATTTCGAACGAAATTGTACGAGAAGAGCGACGCGCGTAGTATGGGTTAAATTTTACATTGCATTTGTCTCTTTCTTGCAGCGTGTCGTACGAGGAGCTGAGGGAACGTTACTTGCAATTCTCGGTCTACGATTTCGATCGGTTCTCACGTCACGATCTTATTGGACAAGTGGTTCTTAAAGGACTTTTAGATTGCACCGATCTCGAGCAAGAAATTGAATACACGATGGACATTCTTTGCGCCTTACAGGTACTGCATGCAGGTTAATCATTTCGGCACGACCGAATACGCGCGATGCTCAGTTATAATTATAACCTTTCGATTTTTCGCGCAGGAGAAAGTGGACCTGGGAGAATTAATGTTGTCTTTGTGTTACCTGCCGACGGCTGGTCGATTGACATTGACCGTGGTCAAAGCCAGGAACCTGAAAGCGATGGACATAACAGGGAAATCAGGTGAGCGGAGAATGCATCAGTGAGTGAGAGATATTCTCTCGCGGCGCGGTGGTGCAATTTGGCGCCCAGTGAGCGCGACATCAAAATCCGATTGATCAGCCCAAGAGATCTGACGGACGCGAAATTTGTTTCGCTTCTCTCTCTCTCTCCCCCTTAGATCCTTACGTGAAGGTCTACCTGCTGTGCCAAGGTAAGAGAATAAAGAAGAAGAAAACCACGGTGAAGAAGAATTCCCTTTATCCCGTGTACAACGAGGCGCTCGTCTTTGATGTTCCCGCGGACAATATCGAGGATGTCAGTCTCATAGTGAAAGTAATCGATTACGACAGGTAAAGGGAACTTTCTATCAGCGCGACGAGAGCACCCTCTCTCCCTCTCCAAGAGAGACATGAATTTAATATTTTGCGCGCGTCAGGATTGGACCGAACGAGTTGATGGGGTGCACCGCCATTGGATCGAGTTTCATCGGGATCGGACGGGATCACTGGTTAGAAATGTTGGACAATCCTAGGAAGCCGGTGGCGCAGTGGTACCCGCTGATGGAGACCGTCGCCGGTCATATCCCAGCGGTGGACTCGGAGCCGCTTCCAGTGAGCTTGAGTTGCTTGAACAGCAGGTGAGGTTGAAAGGAAACCTCCGCACGGCGCCGCTGCTTGCGCGCGCGTGTCTCGAAACGACGATGAACGTGTCTCTCAAACGTCTCGACCGGCTTCCTCTGATCTGAGTTTGCGTTACAGATGAAGACAGCAGGCGCGCAGCAAACATCGCGGAAGCATGCAAATATTGTCGGACGCCGGCTTGGACATCGTCTCCTTCTGCCGTCATTTAATGCACATTGCTTGACTGACTTAAGTACAACCTCTATCTCGAAAGCCCGGAAAAGGCGAACTCTGTGCTTTGCAACCTTACCTCGTGCGACAAGGATGAAATGATGGGCGAATCGGCGTAACTGATCGCTCGCATGGAAACACACACACGCACACGCGCACACACACACACACACACACACACACACATATATATATACTCAGTAGCTCAAACTCGACTCGATCGGAAACGGAAGTGAGCTTCATTTGCGTTCCTGTGTCTTTTTCCGAGCGCTAGAACGGTTACATTATATAGTGCAGGCTGGTCCCGCACTACCGTTGCAGACGCAAGTATATTCCCTTCTCGTAGAACTTTTGCAGCCACGTGATGTTGAGCATGACGGTAGCTTAAATGTCTTAGATTAATGCGCGGAATCGCGGCTAAGTAAGTTTTTATAGACGACAAGTACGGACGGTGGCGAATTCTCGTAGCTCGCGGCCGCGGCAGGCGCAAGGCCTTACTTACCCTCGACGAAGGTGAGACGGGCGGGAACAGAGATACATGTGCATTGTACCGACGTGCGCGGAATACAATCGTGAATCGCGATAAACCTTAAGATAGCACAGAACTAGGCAAACGTGTTGAATGTACGCATCGTTTCTTACTTCACACTCGCTAATCACTTCTGCGCGAATGTTCTATAAACGTGATATATGTTTACACACACACACACACACACACACACGCACACTTACAACTATATGTACAAATAACGTATGTCTAATGCGATCGAAGGATCATGTGCATCGGTAGCTGCTTCGTAAATACGTGCGTTTGTACGTTCGCAGCTGACGCATGACTATTCGATTGTGTGAACTCGATAATAAACGACAACATATACATTTCCAGATTGTACGAGGAATTATGTCGTAGGAGAGGAAGGGAGACGGAGACGTATTATGTAGTCCTCTTATAATTTACGATATTACGAATGTATCACCTGCATGTATGCATATGTTTAAGGATATAGTCGAGGTAACGTTCTTCGATGGAGCACGAGGCTCATAGTATGGATGAATTTGTCCCGATTCTTTCTTTCTTTCTTTTTCTAAGACCAGACTCGACCAGACTCGCGAGTGTCTGTTTAATACGTGCGCAGCTTTGAGTTGTATTTTATATGAGAGAACAAGTGATTTTCGCGACGATATTTATCGCAGGATATGTACGGAGAAAATTTGAATACGCCGTAGACGCGTATGGGCGTTTCTGGAAAATGGGTGGATAGACGGCGAGAAATAAAAATCTCGATTACAAATCGTCGCCCAATGAGGCAACGACGAAGACGCGGTGCTGCGCGTCTGCGGAACGTGCGCTCTTAATTACGAGATTTACCTTCGTTTCATTCGCTCTTGCGTGACGCGCGTATGAGTATTGTAGGTCTCACCTGAGAGCCGTCGATTGTGCGGAAGGAAAGAGATACGCGAGTTATTTTCGGGGGAAAGAGAAGTATACGCGTACATATATCTCTACACGTACACAGCGTTATATATATATCATACACAAGTTATATAGAGGTAATCGAAGAAGAAAAATAAAAGATGATGTCAAAACTGGTGATATTTCGTGCGACATATACACAGACTAGCGAAGAATGTGCCAACAAAATTAACGATGTGGTAGCGGTAGTCACAATTGAGAGAGTAGTTTGTTCCAATTGTGTGCTTAGTATATTGTTCTAGAAACTTGAGTTTTCGCGCGCATGCGCGCTACAATAATCTTAGAATATCCCACTGTTTCGAGTCAATATATATACTTCGACCATGCCTGCCTGTTACATACATCACTAAGGGAAGTTTTTCGGTACTGTCGACAATTTTGTATCTACTCCATTGTTCCAGCGATGCCCATGAGGATGAAAGAAAGATGCTGTATTTTTCGTACAAGTGGGAGTCGTTTTACCACACAGGACTGAGCTTTCTCAAGTAACCTCGCTGTAGTGAGTTCATATCGTGAGTAGCGATTTACGTTAGAAAGATTAGAAGGATGACGCGAAGGTGCGATACGAGACAACAAGCTTCTCGCGCAACCGCACGCGAATTTTTTAATTGCCTCATTGGACGCGCGATGTTCTCAGATTCGGAGATTTACGTTTTCCTCTCGTCCTTTCGTCGCGCGTACGACGCTTCGGTTGAAGATGTTCACGATTGTCTCGAGCATCAACAAAGTCGACTCTCTATTTGTTTCAAATATGTCTACCTGATCGGATATCATATACTTTCGTATTATAAATCGTAGACTGCGCGCTGGACTGCGCACAAAATTCCGAACATAAACGCGTATCTGCGAATATGCGGGGCAAACTGCACGCCGATGAATATACATACATACATCGATAATTGAGTTGTTTGCGTGTTATTAACATTTGAATCGACGAATGAGCACTTGGTTTAAAATCTACTCTAATTACCGGGGCGATCGTATTCGCATGTAGTTAATCTATGGACAAGTAATAATAATAATAATATCAATACTGACACGATGTGTATACTTTTCTAACGAATATGATAACTATATTGTATATTCGAGCACGCAATGCTCTCTGTTATGATCGTGAATAACATCAATAAATCGGTAAATAAGGAAGACTGACGTGTTTTAGGTTTACGTCCTTGCGCAGCCGGCTTTTGCCGGCTATTAATAACATCGGATCGCAAGATGTTCAAGCACACCGCAATTTTCCCTCGCTTCTCTCCAATTTTTCATCCGTCATCAATATCTCAAAAACCAAGCGTTTCCGAGATGCGTTCAATAGTATTCCTTGAGAGGATCGCATAAGAGGGCATTACCCATGAAATCTTCTTTCTACCGAAAATGCTCGAAAATTAAGACATCACATAGCAAAACCGGGAAGCAATTATTCTAATGGCGCTAACGAGAGTGCTTTGGGATGATTGGTCCTGAATCTGGGATGAGACGTAAGTGAATTGGCACACTAGAATAATGCATATAAATTTGTTTATTATTATCTGTATAATATATTTGAAACAATATCATTCTACAACGTTGCATAAAAATATACAAAGACATGAAAAAATGTCTTGACTCTCGTTTGGTAAAACATGTTCATGAATAATTGTCTAGCGCTGCATCGCAATCATACCTGCGTATGATCGAAACCAAGCAGATTCGATATGTCAATTGTAATTTGCAGTTCGATCAATGTCGAATAGCGGGTAAATATGATCGGAGGATTACAAAACAGGGCACAAGTATATGCGATGAATATTTCGGATTTAGCCGCGGATAGACGCAGTGTCGCAAAAATCGGCGCGAAACTTGTTTTAAAACAAAAACGGCTGATATTTGACGGCTGATAAAGCACGATTTCTTATCTCTCGTTAAAAATCGATTTAACACAGCTCTGGTCATAAATATGGAACAGCTCCAATAGATTGGTACTCTATTCGACGATTAAAACGTTATGATAGAGAGATCTGAATTAAACCGGTAGATTTTTCGAGTTTACTCACTCAATTTCTCAAATCAAATTTATAAACCTCTTAAATATCTTCTTACGTTATTCTCGTAAAATTTAGTATTCGTTATAATTTAGTATAAAAGTTCTCATTGTATCTTTCAATATAAAGGCGCTTCATATTTTTGACCAACACTTACATATGCTCGCAAATTAGACACATCGGAAAAGCGACTTTCTAATTTGCGGAATTAATCAAACGCTACACCCCGATCGCGACTTTAAATCGCAAATTTCACGTATATTCCTCGTGCGGCAAAAGAAAATTTTCTCTGCAAACTTCTCGTTCAGAATGCGCTGTGTAATAAAAGCGCAAATTCGTCAGAAACTGTGATAATAATGGATGAGCGAGGGAGTGTACTTTGACTGCATCATAAACATGTTTAGAGAGTACGTAGGCCAGAAATAAACATTCGTTTGAAACGACAATCAAGTATCCATTTCGCGTGGTGTCGAACAAATTCTCGATTCAGGGAAGATTTAGCGGCACTCCCGTTCAAACATAGTTCCTATTTTATTTTTCTTTTTTTTTTTGAGATCATCGGCCGAAGGATAACAACCGTAATCATAATATTCATAATGATAATAAGGGGAGTAAGTAGTAATATATAATGACAAAAATAATAAACTAATGATATTATAATGCAAGGTGATAATTAATTATTACATATCAATTAATAGTAATAAAAATAACTATTCGTAAAAGTATCCTTTTTACCAGGAGAGATATACCTATAACTTATGTACACGCTGCCCGATCGTACGATCCGCATTCTCTTCCTCCTCTCATCTTTAAATTACGTATCGTTATGATAATTTAATACTACTCGCAACGGTAGCAACATAAATAATAATGCAACACTGTTATTTACAGACAACTCACTCTCTTCCTCTTTTATTCATATCTTCATATCTCATTCTCATTCCTTCTTATTGCTACCACGCTCAATCGCGTGCACGCACTGATTTCACGGATCGGACCGGATGATCGCCGATGCACTCCTCGATCGCAAACACGAGGATCTCTCGCGACATGGACGCGCTTCCCGTTAACCCTCCTCTCCGACGAAATTATAAAAGGATCTACATTCCCCTCGTGCGAGAGCGAGAGAGCGATCGACAAGTTATGAATAAATAGTCATCTATGGGAAGTCGGGGTACGGAGGGTTAAATCGGTCGATGCACAATCTCGCTATTCCCTTCGACGAGAATCATACTTCCTTTCTCTCCCCCCCTCCCTCTCTCTCTCTCTCTCTCTCTCTCTCTCTCTGACCGTGCAGTCTCCGCTTCGTTTTCATTTTTTGTCTTCTTTTTACAGCGTATATATGTATATAGTATATATCACAATCGTCGGACGAGTAGCGGTGCATCGCTCTCGCGTGGTGAAGTCAGCCCGGCGAGAGTGGAGCGTGCCAGGTCGCGTTTTTTGCCGCGTGTCTGCGCGCTTATCGCGAAGTCGACGCTTTTCCGCAGTTTCCTGAGATACGTACGCGGTGTACGTACGGTCTTACGAAGATAATTTTAGAATTCGGAGCGTCGACTTCTCCGCGAAGCCGCACGCGCGCGCACGCGTACGCGCGCGCGAGCGACTCGATCCTCCCGCAGCGACGTTCTATCTATCTATCTAACTACCTATCTATCTATCATCTCTCTCCTGCTTCCCTCCTCTCGCCACCACTTTCTCCTCCTTCATTCTCGAGGCGGTGCATCGTTTCGCACGGTACTTAACTACGATCCGTGCTAGGCGCTCTACGAGAGCGACCCGCTGGACCAGGAGGACCGCTCACCAGCCCTCCCGATCGCTTCCTCTCGTCGCGGAATGTACTCGAGGAGAGTCCGCGATCGTCGATCGTCGCAACGACACGGAGGAAACCGTCCGGTCGGCTCGCTCGCGCGGTCTCTATATTATACATCTATCTACCGTCTCCTGTCTTTTCGCGTCTCTATGCGTATTTACAATGACAAGGGAAAGGAAAGCGATACGTCGTCCGTATTCGCCATCGTTTTCGCCTCTCGTCGTGGTCTTCGTCTAATAATTCGCCTATAATAATCGCCAAAGAGCGCTCGCTCCCTTTTTTTTTTTTTGCATTTTCCTCTTTTTATATATGAAAAAACCGTTTCGCACGTAGAAATACTGATCCCGCTGAAGTGCCCTCTCCCGTGAGATGGTTCATTGATATCTGAATTGTTTCATTTTTCTTTCTTTCCTTTTTTTCTCCCGACCGACTCAGTCTACGGAGAGAGAGAGATCATCGTGTCTTCCTGCTTCTGTTCGAAATCTCTCTCTCTCTCTCTCTCTCTCTCTCTCTCTTGTCGCGTGCTTTTGCGAGGAAAAAGACACGGACGCCCCGAATCTCGACGACACTCGAGATTCGAGCGTCACGTCCGAAAGCTGTCCTCGAATTTCCTCGTTTTCTCGTACAGAGAACGCGAGTACGAAGAAGGTGTATATCATTTCAACCTTCACCATTACACACTGTCGCAATAGGAACGCGGCGGGAGGGAGGAAAGATCTCGCGATACCGCGAGCGGCATCCTTCCTCGTCGCGTTCGTCGCCGCACTCGATAATTGATAACACGCTTTACAGTGGATTCTCGCACGAACGACTGTACATTGGCCGCGTGTACGCGACAACTCGGAGTATCGTAGCGGCAGAGACGACGTGTGTGTATGTCGATGTCGGCTAGTGGATCGTTGCTCTGCTTGCGCAGATTGGATCAATGAAAAGCTCGCATTCGTGCGGCCAGCGTGAGCCGCTCGTCCGCCGATCGAACGGCGGACGCGCCGTCTAAAAAGCGCTCCTACATTCTTTCTCTCTCGTCGACCCGACCGAAAAAACTACCCTTATGCACCCCTAGTCGAATCGGCCTCGCGATGTCGTTGAGAACAAGTAAAAAAATCTCGCAGCTACTGGAGACGACAATTTTCCTCGAAGGCGCGGCGTTGTGTATCGCACGACGGGGGGAGAGACGGGCGCGATGAGAATACGCGGGCATGAAAATTAATGAAATTCGGCGGACCGAGGAGCTGTTTTAAGGCCTCGGCGGCAGATTTGGGCTCGGCTGCGCCGGCGGGAGGAGGGTCCGCGATAAACGGAAGCGGCGAGGAGAGCGCAGTAAATCGAACGGGGTCGACCCTTATCACGATCGTAATTTCATGAGAAGCCGGAGCGGCGAATTGACATTTTCGGAGTACGCGCTTCTCCGAGCGCCTCCTCCCGCCGCCACCGCCGCCGCCGCCGCCGCCGCCGCCCTTGTAATCCTTATCCCTCATCGCGGCGGGTCTCCTATCCCCTTGCTCCCATTCTCAGTCTGCTCGTTTTCTCCCTCACGGTGATATTGATCCTCCTGCCGAGGCCCACCCACGAGCAACGTTAGGCTGCCATTCGACCTAGTGTAGGATCGTAACGCAGATGGAGAGACGCGCGAGACGGCTCTTTTTGTTCGTCGACCAGGCCGACGGATTTCTCCCACCGAGTCGGTGGCGAAAAGAAGGGAAAAGAAGTGAACGGAGAATATGAAAGAGGGAGAGAGGACGAGACGAAATTCGGCGGCACTTTTGCCGCCCGTAAAGAGAGAAAAAGCCGCGGAAAAGCCGGGAAAAGGCACGAAATATTTCGGCGACGTGCATTCGGTGTATACCACTCTCGCGACCGATGAAAAGTCGAATCGAAAGATCTCGACGCATAGGGGATGAGATGCGACGAAATTTGTAAAACGGAGGATAAAACGGGATGCGCGTAAGGGGGAGGAGGAGAATAATCTCGCAGTGTCAAACTGATCGCGAGACGACGCACGCGTTTATTGTTATTGCGACGGGATAACGCATTGGATAATGCGCATTAATTTTAGGACGGATCGATACGACGCGCGATAAGCCGCCGAGTACGATGGTTTATCGCCGACCGATGGATTTTCCGCGCTGCGAAACAGATCGAATTAATTTAACGTCCAGCCGATTACGGATTGAATCGCAACAATGTAATAACGCGGTTACAATGAGAAAGAAAGATTCCTACATCGTATTCTTATTCATATTCTTCCCATTTTACATGCCTTTTGCGAGAGTTCCCAAATCCAAATAAAGAGATTAACTCGTAGGAACTCAACGCTTTTAATACCAATTTGAAATTCAACATGGATTTTCTTCCATGTTATAAACTACAGAAATCGCACCAGTGTGATTGCAACAATAATACGCAGAAAATATTCGCGTATGTTTTTTAGCTTCGAAAGTGTCTGTTACGAGAGCGGTGTTTGATCCATCGTACCGATTAAATTTATCTAGCTAAGGAAACAAAGGAAAATGTTCACTGCAAACAGATATCTAAAGCTAGAGAAATTCTAGGCGTTAAGGTTACATAGTTTGACTAGGTAGAAATAAAAGTGTTTATAAATCTGTTGCCCCGATCCGTAAAGTAGATTAAAAAAGAGGGAACACAAGACGGCTTATCGCGCGTCGTGTCGATCCGTCCTAAAATTAATGTGCATTATCCCCCCTCCCCTTTCCCACTCTACGCGCATCCCGTTGTATCCATATATATATATTCGTCGCATCTCATCCTCTATGCGTCGAAATTTTTCGTTTCGATTTTTCACCGGTCGCGAGAGCGGTATACACCGCCGAGTGCACGCCGCCGGAATACAAAGAGAGAATATGTATCTCACGATGCTTTTCCTCGCGAAAAAAAGATGTATCATGCTTGATAATACTATAATATCGTTTTATTCAAGTCATATAAACGATCAGGGTTAACACGATCAGACTGCTTGGCTGAATTTATTTGCCCGTAAGACATTATTTACGTCGCATCAGTTCGTGGGTAAATATCCCCCAAATTTCTTGACGGGCAAATTCAGTCGTTGTTATTTAAAAATCACTCATTTTTCGCAAAACTTCGCGCGGATCTATGTCATGATATTATTGATTATATTATTTCGTTGCATAGCTAGCATTTGTTGCATGATGCGATAACAAAATTGTGTCGCGAAAACATACCACGCTCGCTACCACGATTTGTTTGAGAAATTCCCACCCACTACCTACAGTAGACTACATTGTATACTTATATTTTTATATAATCGTATAATTGTATAAGCCGATTTTATTAAAGCTACTTCTTCATGAGAATCTTTTGCATCTCATCAATCATGTATCTCCAATTCAGCATTACGTGGTCAGTCATATGAATTCCGAAATTCAATGCGAGAAAGGTTGCCTTCATAGGAGACAGAGATGAATATACGCGAATATTTTCCACATTTTACAATTGATTGCTAATTTTTTATTTCTTTTCCACATTGCCTTTTTCAGCTGAAAGTTAACGCTTAATTTATAAGAACAGTAGTGTAACAATAACAATTTGAGAGTAGCGTATTCAAAGATGTGCCGTCAATGGCATATATACAATTAATAAAATGTCAATTATCAAACATTTGATCTGGAAACGGCTAGGTGGAAGAGAATATAAAATTAATGGCTAGATATTATAATACCGGTGAGTCTATTGTGTGGAAACTATTTTCGTCTCTTTCCCACGTCGTGCTACTTTCGGATTAACTTTCGGTTAACGTTAAAAAACTTAATTTATTTAAAACTTAATTTATCGGAATAGTAAAGAAAAGCAATATGACAATATAACAATTAGAGAATAAAGTATCATGTAATTTTTTCGACAAACTGTATGATACATCTGCGCAAGAAGAAAATGCATCGTCGAGATATGTATTCCATGTTCTCTTTTTAATCTTACTTTATGCATCGGCAACAGATTATAAATATATATTTTTTTTTTATTTAGTTTTCTGCGTATTATTGATGCAATCACATTGGTACGATTTCTGCAATTTATAACATGAAATAAATTCCATGTTGAATTTCAAATTATTAATAGAAAAGTATCAATAGAAGGTATTAATAGAAAAGTTTCGAGTTCCTAAGAGTTTATCTCCTTACTTACATCTTGGAACTCTCGCAAAAGACATGTAAGAAAAGAAGGATATAAAACGCATAAGGAATTTCTCCTTCTCATTGTAATCGCATTATCATATTGTCGTGATTCAATCCATAATCGGCCGGATGTTAAATTAATTCGATTTGTTTCGCCGCGTGGAAAATTCATTGGTCGGTGACGAGAAAAGAAACTATAAAATTAATGTCACAAAATGCACCAAAATTGCGATGTCAATGAAAAAACTATTTGCGTACATCGAGTCTATACAGTTTGTCAAAAAAATTACATCATTGCCATTTTCAAATAGCATATGTCTGATAATTGACACTTTTTCAATTGTAAATATGCCATTAATGGCATATGTTTAAATACGCTATTCTATAATTGTTATTGTTATATCGCTATTCTTATAAATTAATTTTTAACATTAACCCGAAAATGGCGAGGTGGAAAGAACAAACGAAAATAGTTTCCATACAATAGATTCATCGACATTGTAATGTCTATGCCGTTAATTAATTTTACATTTTTTTCCACTTTGCCGTTTCCGGATAAAATGTTTGGTTATTGACGTTCGTTAATTGTATACATGCCGTTAACGGCACGTTTTTTGAATACGCCACTCCCTAAATGTTACGCCGCTATTCGTTATTAAGCGTTAACGTCGATCCAAAAAAGGCAATGTGAAAATATGAAATTAGCAATCAATTATAAAACGTGGAAAATATTCACGTATGTTCACCTCTGTCTCCTATGAAGGCAACCTTTTTCCGTGTCGCACCGAGTGAATTTCGGAAATTATATGACTGACCGTATAATGCTGAATTGTAGATGCGTGATTGTGCCGAAAGATCTTTATGTGAAAATGTAGTTCTGATAAAATCTACTTATTACATACAAATTATATAAAAATATAAATACGTTGTTGTCTACTTTCCCAGTTTCCCAAACAAATGGTTGAAAACATCCATGGTTGATGTATATAACACATGAAGATCCGCACGAAAATCTGCGAGAAATGAGCGATTTAAAAAAAAAAAAAAAAACGACGACCAAGCTCGCCCGTCAGGAAATTTGGAAGATGTTTACCCACAAACTGACGCGACGTTTTATGTTATAATGTTTTATGGGCAAATAAATTCAGCCAAGCAAAGTCTGATCGTGTTAACCCCGATCGTTTTCACTTCTTGTTTCTGTACTCATCTAACGCTACGAACGCTTCGGTGCAAAATTTTTGATATTACTTGAACAAAACAGCCGTATTTATAGTATTAATATAAGTATGATATAAACGTGATATCGTAATAAATACATTCACTGCATTGCATTAATTTTCTCGACAAAATTTGACTCGACTGATTTGCAATTGGATCAAAGAAAAAGTTTTATAACAGGCAGATTCGAGCTCTTATTGATGTCGCTATTGGCGCGTTTCGTGGTGTCAAATTTTATAATTTCTTTTCACATTTTCTCGCCGTTTTTCAATCGACTCGGAATATAAAAGAAGAGAGACATGAAATGGGAATAAACTGAAACGAACTGAAATCATGGAACTTAATTTTAAATTTACTATAAACTTAAACTTAACTATAATTTTACAATTGATTGATTGATCCCACACGCGTTATTTTAGGTCGGTATAGTTTAGAGCTCGGCAAAGTGTGCACGCGACGGCCGATTTTCGATTATCTCCGCCCACCGCTATATTCCCTTTACCCCGCCGCTCCGCGCGCTGCCTACAAGCCGCTTGAGTCTCAGGAGTGTGTTTCCAATAGTTTTCCACGTCACCTATGAAGTATTATTGTTAACGCGTTTTTGCCGAGAGGCAGCGCGCGGAGCGGCGAGGTAAAGGGAATAGCGGTGGGCGGAGATAGTCGAAAATCGGTTGTCGCGTGCACATTTTGCCGAGCTCTGGTACAGTTATTCATATTCGACACATACGAGCTGACCAGTCGTATGTGTCGACAAGTCGACAAGTCGTAGTTTTACAGAATATCGAGATTAAAGTTAGCCGCAGTACTGTCTAGAGAATTAAGCAGCTCTTGAGCGCTGAAATTCGACGAATCTGCCGTAGGAAGAGTCTCTAGGAATTCGAGGCTAAAATCATTAGCCGATACGCCGGACGGGTCCGCAGCATTGGCTGGTGGTTGCGCATGCTGTTGCGGTAGACTGCGTACCCCTGAGCTGCCCGCACCATACTGCTGATGCGGATGCAATGGAGAACCTAGACATAGGATTCGTAAATAATTACTTCATGGTTTCTCTCTGGCCATATGGCACAAACTAAAAAAAAACCGCGCTTCTCTCGGGATCCCACAAATTATTCGCAATACAAAGTTCGTTTCTTTTTCTTTTCCAGATTGATCAATTTGAATGAACTTGAGTGATCCAGTGATTGGTTAAAATGTTTCCAAGTCGACTAGTATTTGATTTGAAATTAATTTTACTCAGACGTACTACTTTGTTCGTGTGTAATATGTAATTTGATGATTGTTTCTAGTACTGGAGGCATCCGTTAGTCACTTACCGGTGCCAGTAGCGTTAACCGAGTTAACCGAAGATGCCTGAGACATTTGCATCTGCAAGGACATCGGATTATTGTTCTGTTGTTGCATGGCTAACGTCTGTTGCTGGTGCTGCTGCGACAACAGCTGCTGCATCTGCGTGCTGTTGGACATCCCCGATCCGGCGATGCCGCCGTTTTGCGAGCGGATTAGCTGCTGCTGATGTTGCATCTGCGCCGCGGTCATTTGCATGCCGCCCGCGCCAGCCATGCCGAAGCCACCTTCGGGGAAAAAATCGCACGATTCGATAAAATTTCGATCTTATGCAAATCATTTCCACGGCGAATATGTGGGCGACGGCAAATAAAATCGACAGAGGCGAGCTTTAACCCTTTATGTACTCGATGAATTTTTCAAATACGCTCACCGCACACGCGTGTGCGTGCGTGTCCGCGGTGACCAGTGTGTCCAGAAAATAGATTAAAACGCGCGCGTGTGTGTGTGTTCGGCGACGAAATCACTTCTCTCGAAAGGGTTTGACTCGCGAGGCTGAATTCCAACTGGCGGAACATCGCGATCGTTCCTCGTCGGCGAGCGCAACGATGGCCGGCGACAAAAGGATCCTCTCCTCTCCTCTCTTCTCTTCTCTCTCTCTCTCTCTTCTCTTGGCGCTCACCTTGGTGACCTTGCTGGTTGAATTGCGATCGCATCTGCGCCTGAAAGCCCTGCTGCTGCATCAGAACGTGTCGCCATTCTTGCTGGCCACCGCGACCCGCGATGCTATTCCCAAGGCCGTCCGGAGGGCCGACGCTGACGTTAGGCGGCCGCTGATTGTTGGTTCTCGGGTAGCCTACCCGCTGGTGCATCTGATGCATACTGCCGATGGCGGCCATCCCACCACCGCCCATGTACATATTACCGCCGGTCGCGTGTAACGCCTGCTGCTGCTGCTGCGCCAGTTGCGGCCTCATCATCGGACCTGCGAAAAACAGCCGTGTGCCGTAATGGTAACGTCGTTGTCGAAATTCGGCAGCTCGCTTGGCGAGCAGGCCGAACGTACAACAACGTGAATGTCTTGGATTTATCGCGCGAGTATCCGTGTGTTTCTTTCCAATTATCCGTCGGATCGACATGCACCTAACGACACGACGAAATGCGTGTGCGGAATCTTCCCGAGATTGTCCGTCGCAACGGACGTCGTGTCAGGGCGCGGTGTCAGCCTCGAAGTATAAGCTGAGGACACTTTGTACTCCTTGCGATACCCTCCACGTTACGTGGCCACCATCAGTGCGCACAAGAACGCACGACAGAGCGTATTCCGGGCTATGGGATTTTTTCGTACGAAAGTACTCGTCGTAACGGCCAATGCGCACCGCGCAGACAATGCTGCTCGGGGCACAAGTGGTGGGCAGCTGGTATTCCTCGCGGAAAATAACCGACACATGCATCCGCACGAAAGACGTATCCCGCGCGATCCGCTTGAAATTATTTGTCGCAGCGACGTCGCGCTGCGACAGATAATTCCGCTTTGCGGAAGTCGCGGTGCGAGAAGTAGCCGTCATATCGGTGCGCAGAACGGAGAGTATTCTGCGGTAATTTGAAACGTTTGATACCCATTGCAGAACTCTCCGTCGAAAAGTGTCGGAGCGACGAGTAACGGTAACACCTCGCTGTGTACGAGCAATTAGTAAAATATAATAATCGTACCTGTCACGTGTGTGAAAATAAATGTAAAAAAAAAAAAAAAAAGAAAAAAAAGAAAAAAACGAAAATTGAATTGACGTGGAATATGAAATAAAAGAAAGTAAAGGAATATCATACTGTGAATATAATTCTGTTGTGCAATTTGCGCAGACGACCATGGAAGACCGTACGCGCTCTGAGATTGCATTGCAGGCGGATTGTTTTGGAATTGGTTCATAAGGGTCCCACGGTCTTTAGCGGGCGTTGCCATAATAATCTCCGTCCCTTTTTTCTCCTCTTCCGTAATGTGCGGTGGATCTGATAATACAATGTTAACATTGTGAGTAAGAAGCGATTGTGTACCGTCTACTGTCCAGCAGCGACGATAACAATACTGATGGCAAGGATTAAAAAGATTTTCTTTCCGATGCTTAAGGAGCGATGCTCCGTCTACTGTCCAGCAGCGACGATAACGCATCGATGGGAACCGAGTAAAAGGGTGACGATAACGAAACACAAAATTAAATCTATAAGAAATAAAGAAAAGCGCATACTAGGAATATACTGAATAAGAGATTCCGCCTGTAGTGGAGGGCCGTACGCGTTCTGAGATTGTATTGCAGACTGTGGTGGGTGCGGAAGACAGAAATTGAGCATGTCTGTGGACGGATAAGAAAGATTGATTTGCGTTTCATTGACGTTCGTTTGATTGACGTTCGTTTGAGTGACGTTCGTTTGATAGACGTTCGTCTGCTTGTTGTGAAATCCAAGGCAGTCAGCAGGTGTTGCGACTGTATCAATTTTTCGTTTCCTTCCGCGTTTCTTTTTCACAGGGATTTCTGGTGCGACTGGTATATCCGGGAAAACTGAAACTTACGATTTAATTAAGCGTTTCTAAAGGAGATCCACCAATTAATTATTATATCAGTTATTAGCAATTAATTATTATAGCACCAAAGAATCAAAATATAAAGTATCAACAATTACACGTATCCGTTTACTATCCGGTAGCAAAATTTTGCGCGATTCGTCACTCCTCATTCGACTACCTTCGCCTTGAATCTTTTACTTCTGACGTATTTCATAATCGTTACAGTCTACATCATTTCTCAACACTCGATGAGGAACAATTAAAGATACACTAATCGTTTCAATGCAATGATACGAATAAAATTATTACGAGCGACCGCTCGGTTCGCGTTCGCGAACGGCGTTTCTCCGTACGGTCCTCGATCGAGATCTTTTGTTGATGATTTACCGGATGGCGGCATCGGTTGCTGCGTAACTCTACGCATGGGTCCCGCGTTGGCGAACCTCGCCTGCTGTCCTATTCCGATGCTGGCGTGCATCATTTGCGCCTGGGCCGCAGCCTTGTATTCGGGCGGTGGCGGTCGCACACCCCCCATGCCGCCGGTCATGTGTTGTTGCTGTTGCATAGCCTGGAATCACAGATGCGAGGGACACTGAGATTAAGAACGAATGGATGGCGCGACGTGGCTTTTCACAGCTAACTCTCCCAGCCCCGGACGATCGCGGTGAACGAGATCGGACCGCGCGTGCCGCGCGAGATCGTTACGTGGCGATTTTAAGGTCGGTTCGCTGCTACTCTCCGCTTCGCTCTCGCTCTCGCTCTCGCTCTCGCGACGGAGGAGTCTCGAGAGAGCAGAAGGGCGTTGCTCGCCTAATCGCAGGTTGTTGCTCGGTCGAGAGTGGAAAGAGAGACGCCGGGGCGCGAGACGGAAAGGAGAAGAGACGAGGAGGCGAGCGGCTGGACGGGCGGGAGAGACGAGAGGCGAGAGAGCGAAAGGGTGAACGTATCCGACGGCGATCGCCGCTGCTGCGTCGGCTTCCTGCGGCGGTCGCTGTTGTTACTTCCATTGTCGTCCTCTCCCGCGCGGAGAGAGAGAGAGAGAGAGAGAGAGAGAGAGAGAGAGAGAGAGAGAGAGAGAGACTTTCCACGCGTCCGCGTAACACCAGGAAGTGGAAAATGCAATCGCGCTTCGCTCGCTTGTGCAACCGCGAGCCCGAAACGCCCGCATCGCGATTTCGGCGAGACGAGACGAGACGAGACGAGACGAGACGAGACGAGACGAGACGAGACGAGACGAGGCGTAATTCGCGCGCCACGCGAATGCACTTGCAATAAGTCATCGAGTGACGTGAGCAGCGTCGTCCGAAGAAAGAAAAAAATGGACGACGCGAGCCTATGATAATGATGATGATAATAATAATAATAATGATAAAATAAGTTGAATAATAACAAGTCACAGGAGAGGAAAGAAAAAACGAGAGCAAGAGATAGGATGCTCTGCACGGGGAAAATATCGGAATGGAAATTGCAACAAAGCCATCCGCAATCTTGAGCCACAGAGTAAAACGACTGAAATTACTACAATGTACTCGTTAAAAAATATAGCGCGCAAAATTTTTACAACAGCGTCATGTCACGGGATCGGGGGAAGGGAACTCTCTTCTTGGAACTCGTGGACAACGATCGAAACGGCATCGCGCGATGATGCTCCTGCTGTTCCGGGGCACGTTAACTGTCCTAATAGGTCGGAATGGATACGAGCACGGTATAGAGCCGATCATCCCGTCAATTCCAATATCATCGTGAATAAGCGTTAATCGAGACCGCGTGCATACGTCCGTAGCCGCGTGGACGTCCGGATTTGCGAGCAAAAGCGAATTAGCGACCGAGCGATTTTCCTTTTTTGCCGGCTCGATAAGGATACCACATATCGCCGCTCTCTACACGCTTCCGCCTTTCATCGGGGAATGCCGGCTACGGGGTTGCGCAATTTCGCACGGTTGACCGTGGCAGGTCCGATTGAAAGGACACTCTCGGTGAACGTCCTGCGCAAAAACTCGCGAGCGCACCCTCCGCGATAATGCACAGAGCGCTTTCTCGCTTGTCGCCCGGAGCCGTCCCTGGAAGAGCGGATGACTAACCAATTGCGTGAAATGTACAATTAGTAAGTGGAGCATGAGCGTCGTCGTCGTCGTCGTCGCTGTCGTCTTTGCTACCTTAGAATTATCAAGATAATGATCGCGCTGCGACTGAGTCAGCCGCCAATAGGCGGTCCGCAAACGCAACGAGGAGATCTAGGCGAGCGTGGTCTCTCCCTCTCTCGTAGCTACGCGTGTGCCACGCAATTTCGCTTCGTTAAATCAACTTCCCGGCGACGTGTTTAATCGCGCGCGACGATTCCACGATCGTCGCTTTCGCGACGCGACGAGCCGCGATGGAAATATCGGTACCCGACGACAACGACGATGACGACGACGACGGCGACGACGGCGACGGCGACGGATTTTACCGTTGATTTAATCAGTGCCTTTCGCGGACCTGATGACAGACTACGTGGGCAGCGAAGCCGCGATTGAAAATAACGACGGAATTTCGGGAAACTAGGCTGAAACGTCCAGTAGCCGACACGCTGCCAGCTCTCGGCAGTCTCGTCGTGGATTTCATCAAATGTTACGGTGTACGCAGGGACTTATTAAATATATTTCTAATTCTTTTCAATCGTTATATATTTTTAATGCCTACACGCTTCAGTATCTGAAAGAAATCCTTATAAAATCTGGCTCGTGATATATTTTTATTTGATAAAATCCAAAAAAGAATGCCGAAGACTAGCAGCGAGTCCAAATGCTGTCGGGCCTTTCGCGAAGGCGACGATTCGCCGGGTTCTCGCAGAGAAGAAAAAAGCAGACAAACCGTCTCGGATCCTGCGAGGAGATCCCTAAACGAAAGGAAGCACGCTCAGCCTGACGTATCCTGTGTACGTGCGGAGAGATCGGCAGATTAGACGCTACTTATTCAATACTCCCCGCTTACGAGATAAGCGAGCTGAATGCATTTAGCGTTATCACGAGGAACCGTCGCCGCGGCGGTTGCATGTGAGATGCGCATCGCACGATCCAACGGGTCGATTAAGCCGCGAGAAAAGCCGGTGCGCGCGCGGGGGGGGGGGGAGCGAGGGAGAGGGATAAAGAGGCGCGTGTATCGACGATGCTTAATCTCGCGTGAAGCGCGAGTAATCGTCGAGGACACTAATTCACCGATATTCCCGGCTACGCCGATATCACGGGCTCCCGCAGGAAACTCCGGCGTCGCGCAAAAACTTTTCGCCCCATTGTTCCCCGGTCGCGCTCTCTCCCTCCCTCCCCCCCTTTCTCTCTCTCTCTCTCTCTCCCCCGTCTCCGAGGAAGCTCGCGCCGCGCGCTATTTGTCCTATTTGTGTCGCTTCTTTCAACGCGGCGGGACAGAAGTTGCAAAAGACCTAGCGGTACCTGTTGCATACGAACGTCGCGGGCGCAGGACGCTCTCTCCTTTCTCTTTCTCTCCTCCTCTCTCGCCGGATGCGAGCTTAATGTCTCGGATAATGTGCCACCGGGGGTGGTATCGCGCTGCGATCTCGCGACGAGCTTGCAGAAGCGATCGCCACGCGAGGCGATGCCGCGACGAAAACGCCGAAGGTCCGAAAAGCTCCGTCTTTGTCTGCGCGGTCCCGCCGAATTAAGCGAACTCTCGCGCCAACGCGGACGACATCGCGATGTTGCGAGCAATCGCAGATCGCGAGAATGTTGCGTCGAAAGTCGACACGAATTATTTCGACCAACGGACAAACGACTGCAGGGCTGTCTGATGAAAATCGGACAACACGCGAGACAGGACGAGAAGAGAAGAGAAGAGACCAGGCGAGCGGTTTCTCGTTGTTTTCGACCTTTACGGAGCCGATACTAGCAAACGCGCGGAACTTGAAGACTCACGCTGCGCACCTGTCGCACCGGCACCGTGACGTGTCGCGACACGGCGCGACGCCGGCGAAATGACTCGACCGCGAGGAGACGGGACTCTCGGCCGAGGAGCCGGCGGTCGCGCACAGCCCGAAAACGAACTCGCGGACGCGAAAAGACAAGGTCGCTTACCTGTTGCGCGCGCATCAGCTGCTGTTGCTGCAGGATCTTGGCGTGCTGATGCTGATCGACCTGGCCGGCCGGTACCACCTGCTGCGGATGGCCGCGCGCCGCCGCTGCCGGTCCAGGCTGCGGTACCCCGCTGGCGGCGGCGGCCGCCCTCTGTCTCAGACTCTGCTGGGTGAAGTTGATGGTCTGGGACTGCGAGACCGAGCAATAAGCGTCGGGCTGGCTGCCCGGCCCGGGCTGATTCGGCGTCTGCTGCTGGTTGAAGAACATGCCTTGCTGCGCAGCGACGGACACGCTCGGCTTCAGATCACTGGTGAGCTGCATATGCTGACCGGCCGACACCTGCGATAAGAAGCACAAACGGGTGTTATTGTGGTTTGTACGTTTTGGCTAAGCAGCAGGGACGGGAAGGAGCACCTACGATCGAATTGCCTCTCGTTTGGCAAAGTTAGCAACTATTTAATAGAGAGATGGTAGTAATCGGCGTGTTCGAAGCTCTTGGAGAGACCTCGGACGTGATTCGACGTTTAAAGTTGAAGCTTCGAGCTTCGCATCTTCGAGAGCTCGACTCGAAGATTCGGCATATCGGAGTTCTCGATGAAACTAATTTTGCGTGACAAACCAAGTTTGGCGAACTAATTTTCGATTCAGCTGTACGTGGATTTCGAATCCTCCCCCCCTACCCCCTCCAAAGTTCCGAGTATTCAGACGAGTTGGAACATTCGCGGCTGCTCGATACTCGGAAATGCTCAAATATTTGCACCTGGCAATCTAATCTCGTTATTCGAATATAATGCCTCGAGGCCTCAGAGCTTCCCGTGACAGTCACTCGCGCGCACTTTCTCATCGCGGCGACTCAGCCCGCCAGAGCGAAGCGTCGATAGTCGCGCGGAGAAAGGGCCGCGAGGGCCGGGAACTGCGGAGGGGGGGGGGGTGTACCTTCTCGCTGCGTCGTCGCGAGGAAGCCGTTAATAAGTATCGCCGCCGCCGCCGCCGCGTTTCCCGGGGCATGCTTCATCGTGGCTAATACGAGAGTGTCCCGTGTCGATCGGGTGTAACGCGCCGCGCCAGGATCTCGCGAGCCGCTGTTTGACGGCGAGCCTTTCCGCGCGCGTGATCCTTGCGACGCGACGCATCGACGGTGTAATAACAAGCTGCCCGCGCAAATCAACTTCAAACACAGGATTCGACTGTCGAACGGGACGGAGCTGCCGCGAAAGTCCAAGTGCCCTACGGACACACGCGTGATTACACAGTAGCTAACTTGCTAATTGCGCGTAAGAATGTTGCGAGGCTCGTGTCAAATCGCACGCTCTCCGCCTCGGGCCGGCAATCATTCCGCATCCACCGAGACACTTTCTTCTCGTCGGGGCCTTCGCAAAAACCTCCGTCAGCTTGTCGCCCTCGGACATTCTTCGGGCTTCAGATTGAATTTAAGGGAACCCCGCACGCCCCCTCCCCCTCCTCCCGCTCGTGCAGTTTGTATCTTTTACTCGCTGTTATTGCGCGAAATTTTGCCGTCTGAAGGGACGGCCGGCGGACTTCGCGCCGCGGGGGGCGGGCGGAGTCGGAATTTCGTTTGTGGAAGAAAAAGACCAGCGACCGACACAAGCGGACAGAACTATTGTCCTGTCGCCGCGGTCGTATCGGCCGGCAATGATACGGAATGGGCTACCGTTCTTCTATATTTCACGGCGCGTGCAGGAGAAACGACCGGAGCGGAGCCGACGGCCAAGTATAAGCCACCGTGTCCCGCCGATGACCCTTCGCGACCTCGTGGCTCTGCTCCGCCTCTCCCTATCGAACCCTCGTAATCTAGTTGCGAGTTTGTATCTCGATACAGCCCGGCGGTCTCTCTCGGCGCAGGGCCTTGAGCATCGCCAAATTGCGTATCGCGTACCTAGGTCGCTCCTGCACAGTTTTTTATTGGGATTGCACGGCCATCGTTGTCGAACGGCGGACAACTATCGGGTTTGCGTCCGAGGGAAGAAAAAGAGACCTTTCTCTCTCTCTCTCTCTCTCTCGTCAGGGTGTACGTACAAAGTGGCTCTCGCGGGGCGTCCACCCGGTATGCAGCGCGATATCTGAATTTCGCATGTAGAACGTGAACGATGACAGACACTTATGCAAATGCGCAGGTGTGGAGTCGCTCCTCCCTTCTCTTTCTCTCTCTCTCTCTCTCTCTCTCTCTCTCTCTCACTGTCTGTTGATAGCGGCTCAGTCTATTAAAATGTCGAGATATACGACGTACATAGGCGCGAACGGTGTACATACGTGGCCGTAGACGCGTTGTACATTAGCGAAGAGCCGTTGTACATAAGACAGTCTACCGATACGCGCGGATAATTATACGCGTAGTCAAGGATCGGTATTTAGTACAACCACCACCACCATCAGTGTAATTTCGTAGAGACGTACACAGCATGTACAAGCGGGCGCGCGCGCGCGCGTCTCAGTACATAACATTCATAGAGGCTACACGCGGTCGCATTTACATGTGTAAGGGAATTACAATTATTACGTCTATCCGCTCGATGCATATCTCATACTCGTGTATCTCGCGCGATAAGCAGCCGCGCGTGTATATAGAGCGTGTATACGCAGCGTGCAACCCGGTTCGTCGCAGCGTCGATCTGCGACCGGAACACGGCAGAGTGTGTCGCTGCTCGACACTCGACATCGAAAGTTTCACGCTCTCAGAAAATCATACCAGGTCGACGTCCGCGAAATCGCAGTCCCGCGACGAGACCCTGCGCATAATTACGGAGGGGATTACGCGAGTGGAATTGCGGGGCACGCAGAGGCACCGCGCTAATGTTTTCCAGTCGCAGCGAAAACTCTTGCAGCCGACACCGTCTCGCGAAGCTGTGCGGCTAAACAGGGCAGGCTCCCCAGGTCGGGAGAACGGACGCGCGCGCCGCGCTGGCAGCGCGTACGTGCGCTGGCCGGGCACGTGCGGCTTCCACGGCTGCGGAGCTCCCGGTAGGGCGCATAGATATGACCGTGGAGAAACCTACTCGGCCGGTCGCGCATAATTAGCCTAAATCACGACACCGTCGCGTCGAGAGGGAGAGAGAGAGTTCCTGGACGCGACATCTGCGTAGCACGTGTCTTGTTACCGCGACGCTCATATGAGGACGGCTGCTAGCCGTCGAGCGGCCAGGGGGTGAGTTCGGCTGGTCCTCGCGCGTCTACGGCTATCGTGAACTAAGGAGAAGGACGCGGCGGCATACTAATGGACCGCGCAAGCAACTTCCTCGGCCGAAACGTCGGAGACTTGAGAGACACCTCGTGATGAGATCGTGCCGCCCGTCTCGCTTCCCGATCGGAGCTTCCCCTTGGAATCTGTTTTTCTCGATTCCGAGAGGGAGAGAGAGAGAGAGAGAGAGAGAGAGAGAGAGAGAGAGAGAGAGAAAGAGAGAAGTGTTATCTGAAGTTTAAATTTTGATCCTACTCTGAAGCGTCCCACGTCGAGCCCATTTTGATTCTATTTAGTCGAGTTCCCAGTAACGAATATCGCGGATAAATCTTTTCGTTTCATCTGCGCAAATTTTTTCCGTCCACCTAATGTGCGACGATACGCAGCCTCCTCGCCGAGGAAGGGAATAAAAGACACGGACATCGATACACGCGGTGAGAGCCGTCGCGCCGGTCGTTTTGAAAAATCGATAATTACACCGGCGCGGGCTCCGCTCTCGCAATTAAGTCCGGTTAATGACGTGACCGGGGTTATTAGCGTGCGACTTACGGCGAGCGATAAATCGGCCGGCGCAGACTAGACAGCTTCTCCGTCGTATAGAGCAAATCGATGTCAATGTATTCAAGCGAAGCTATTTTTAGCGCTCGCAGTTTGTTTGGAATCAAATCCTCGGCCGTGTTATTATAATCGATCAGCTGTCGCGGTTGCTGCATCGATTCCACCGGTTCCCGGTGCGTGTGTCCCGTGTGCGTCGGAATCGCGTTCACTCGAACGACGTATGCATATTTATGACAGCTTACGTGTGTAACAGCGAGTTAAATGGATATATAATTGAATAATTTCATAGAACGCGCGCGCGCGCGCGTCATTGTTCCCCGTGCGTTATTCTCCACCGCGCACGCGTTCGCGGTTCGATCGGTATCAATTAATTTGTCTCGCTCGTCCGTCTCGAACTTCCGTGTTCGAGTGTGCTCGCGCTTATTGCTCTTATCTACCCGCGGAATCCCCCGCCTCAATCATTGCCACGCGAGACAGTGAAAAATGCCGCACCACGCTTACCGCGCGATCGAACATTCCACCTGTTACGTGAAACGAAAAATAGAATGCTCCTCTCATCGCGAGCATCTCCGGTCGGGCAAAGGCGAGCGATAGTCTTTCTCTCTCGCAGGATGCCCGCGAGCGGACGGCGTAGCGTTCGGCAAGGATCCCGAGGACGAGCCGCGAGTCCGCTGCTGGAGAAGCGCGCGCGCGCGCGCGCGTCGACGAGAATCGTAAAAGGAAACGCTCAGCCGCGCGATTTCAAGTGCGCACGAGGAGAGCCGCGTAGATGGAAGAGCGCACACGGCCGAGACGACTTACGAACACTGTCTCGTGTTATTAGCATACTGTACAGAGCCATCGCACTGACACAGTCGATACACTCGACGATAACGGCGTGTACGTGGCAGCGTCGCGACGCACGCAGCCGCGCGTGCTCGAGGAATCGCATTGTGACTAATATCGCGATGTGGTAATCGCTAATCATAGCACTCGCCCGTGCCCGAGGTGCTCATACGCCTTACGATCCACCGAGATCAGCAGACGTATAGCTGAGACGCGAGAGACGTGGCCTCGTTGAGTTCTCTAGCGCGGCGTCGCCCGATTTTCGAAAATTACCATCTACCTGAGTCGAAATTTTAATTCGCCTCGATATCCCTGCTTCAGCTTTAATTTCGTATCTTCAAATCCCTATCGACTTATCCCGATCTTATTCTAGTCAAGCTGCGCCGAGAGGTTCTCTTGAGAAGCTACAAATGACAAATTATAGGCGCCGAGTTTCTGTGATCTCAATGAAACCTCTCCATCGGTCCTCCGGCGTCTACTAACACTGACTGGACAGTTAAGCTCGAGAACGGGGCGAAAATTTCGATCAGGGTCGGCGCGGATTCTCTACCGTATATCTACACGCCTCTACCGCACACGCCACCGTGACAATTCGGAGAACCACTGATAGGTTTTGCCGGGTGCAACGCACCGTACTTCGCGAGTATATACCGCGGCGATCCGGCCGCGGGAATGGCATCCCGAAGAGAGTGTGACCTTGAGATGGACACCTCACGACGCAGGGGTCTCGGCGCGATGAAAGGGGAGACCGAGGCGGGCA